GTGTCGTTCTCGATTACCGGCTCTGACGAAGTTCGATTAAGCCGATTACCAGAGAGTGCCTTGTCACGTCGATTAGAATATATGCTTTTATTTTTAACGCTTACGTATAATGGCTGTTTTATTAGTCCGAATTTTCGAGAATTGTGAAACTCGTTACGAAACTGTTCAAACAGATTCCCGTTTCTTATCTTTGGAAGTCTTGTACTATCGAGGGATTTAACAAATTTGTTCACGTCGTACCTTGTGACGTATGTTCGTTTAGTATACTTTATTTTTTAGAATTCTTTATTTCTCTGTTGCAAGATACAGGTCGGTCAGAATTAAATAATCGCAGTTTAATAATTGCAATATTAAAATATAAAGCAAGTCGAAATGTTGTGTCAATATTGTACAATCATTGATTACACAAATTATTGGACTTGAAGTACAAATTGAAGAATATTCAAAATTCGAGTAAAGTTGATCACAGCTCAGTGCGTCACGAGTGTCCCACGAGTGCGTCATCTGTGCGTCACGAGTGCGTCACCGGTGCGTCACGAATGTCCCACGAGTGCGTCACTAGTGTGTCACCAGTGTCCCACGAGTGGGTCACTAATGCGTCACCAGTGCGTCACGAGTGTCCCACGAGTGCGTCATCTGTGCGTCACGAGTGCGTCACCGGTGCGTCACGAATGTCCCACGAGTGCGTCACTAGTGTGTCACCAGTGTCCCACGAGTGGGTCATGATTGCGTCACCGGTGCGTCACGAGTGGGTCACTAATGCGTCACCAGTGCGTCACGAATGTCCCACGATTGCGTCACTAGTGTGTCACCAGTGTCCCACGAGTGGGTCATCAGTGCGTCACGAGGGTCCCACGAGTGCGTCACGAGTGCCCCACAAGTGCGTCATCGGTGCGTCACGAGTGTCCCACGAGTACGTCATCGGTGCGTCACCAATGTGTCACCAGTGCGTCACAAGTCAACTTACCAAAACAGCACAAAATTAATAACAATTGAAGTCGTTTAATCAAAATTGTCTTTGAAGTAAAATAATTTTCAACTTCGAACGAGTACGTGTATACCATCAGACACATTTAAAATATTGTCCGCCGTGTGTACCTTTTAAGAGGTATGTGTGAACAAGTGGGAGTGTCTGTTTGATTCTAAACTTAGTTTTTCACGCCTTCAAAGGGAGACTAGGCACGAACGAAGCATACCGTTATTCTTGTCACGGATCACCCCTATAAACTCGCTAAGTTTCATTCAAAACCATGAATAGGGATTTGTGATATTCCTTTGAAAGTGCTGCTATAGTTGCTGGGCCTAATTGCTGCTATAGATGGGTACAGGAACATCAGAGCATTTGGGTCTGGTGCTGGGCTCTGAAAGAAAAGAAATCATGTATATAAATATGTTAATTGTTATTTCTTTATGTTCTTATTATTGCTCTTTTTTTATGAATTTATGTCTTGAGATAGTTAGAATGGAAATTTCTTGGATTTCTAGCTTCCAAGTCTCATGGAATCTTGAGTTTTTATATTCCTAGCTTGTTAAATTCCTGGGGTCACTGAAATAAAAGTTCCATAAAATACATATATACATAAATTCCTAGACTCATAAATATTTAGCCTTCCAAATTTCTATATTCTATAATTTCACTGTCCTCAGATTCTGGAACTGACAAATCCCTAGATTTTAATATTCTTATGTACCAAATTCCAAATTCACCAAATTCCAAATTTAGTAAATTCCAAGTTCACCAAATTGCAAATTTACCAAATTCCAAATTCACCAAATTTCAAATTCACCAAATTCCAAATTTAGTAAATTCCAAATTCCCCAAATTCCAAATTCACCAAATTCCAAATTCACCAAATTCCAAGTTCACCAAATTCCAAGTTCACCAAATTCCAAATTCATCAAACCCCAAATTCCAAATTCCCCAAATTCCAAATTCCCCAAATTCCAAATTCCCCAAATTCCAAATTCCCCAAATTCCAAATTCCCCAAATTCCAAATTCCCCAAATTCCAAATTCCCCAAATTCCAAATTCCCCAAATTCCAAATTCCCCAAATTCCAAATTCCCCAAATTCCAAATTCTCCAAATTTCAAATTCCCCAAATCCCAAATTTCCTAAACCCCAAAATTCCCCAACCCCCCAAATTCCCTAAACCTCAAAGTTCCCCAAATTCAAAAATTCCCCAAATCCCAAATTCCCCAAACCCTAAAATTCCCAAAATCCCCCAAACCCCATAATTCCCCAATCCCCCAAAATTCCCCAAATTCTCCAAATAACACAAAATGAACTCTATCTCACAAACATGATTCTAACACCAATTTTAATATTGATTAATCATCTTGAACATGACTCCGAAATATATTCTACTTATACACGTCATAAATCACCTATATCCCACAGCAAGTTTCCACGTGCCCCAAGTTACCTATACAGTTCAATGCGCAGATGTTCCAAAGTATTTCTTGATTCCTAGAGAAGGGGTTAATTCGTAGGCTTAGTTTCGAAGTCGGTCGTCGATAACTGTTTCTTAACGAGGACTAGCTAGATGGAATCAAATAATCGATGGTAATTAATTGCCCGGGAGCACGGACGCCTCCCACTTGATTAACTTCGAGTGTCGTCGAACTTGTTAACTCGTATTACATTGTCCAACTGGCAATTGATGTTCCGATAGCAATTAGTATACCATTTCTAACCAACTTACAGACCTTTTATCTTCACCGTTCACTAGTCTGAATTTTTAATATGCCTCTTTAAATAAAATTTTTATTAGTTCAACCTTGTTTTGTTAAACAAGGGTGTAGTCGTTTGGAAAGAGTCATATTTATCAACATATGGAAATTAATTTTAATATATATCATTAGATGCATTCTTCGATTCTGTATGTCATTAGAACATGTACTTTATAAAATTGATTATTTTGGAAATACAATATGTATTCAGTATTGCATAAAAATCTATAACTATACTTGCCAACAAACAGCTCAATAATCTTTAGAATAATAAACAGATCTTTTATAAATAGATTATAATTGCAGTATTTTAGTATTTTGTCTACAGCACCATTTTCAATAAAAAGTAATAAAAAATAATTGCTAAAGCATACATGTAGAACATCCTACCCTTGAACGTTTAAAATCAGTTGTTTGTCGGATATTGCTAGGAGTAACCATGTAAAGTTAGCATTTCTTGAATGAAGTTTGTAAGGTTGTTAAGGATTAAGTATACACAGGAAATGGCACTTGCCGTGGCTGGAAATAGAACGAATGCTTTTGCTTTATTATGGATCAGGCGCTTAGGGCAGAGGTTGTGAAACAAAGGCGCAGGTTGGGAATTAGAGACCTTTCTACCAGGTATACGCCAAAGCGGTTCGTCATTATGTTTAAGGTGGCATTGTATGCATACTATTTCCTGTAGCAATTACTTTGTCACTCTTCTCCTATTAGCAGGATTTAAATGCTGTCGTATACGAGGACGTATTGAACCATATACAGAGTGTCGTATTCAAAAATTAATCTTAGTAGTTGTACTATTATCAAGGGAAAACTGAACATTTTTTGTGTGCTTTAAAGAAGTGCGTATATGTGAACTTGACAATGTCTGAATTTTTAAGATCTCAAATTTTTAAATTCTGAATTCCTCAAGTTCAAAATTCCCCAAATCTCAAATTCACCAAGTTCAAAATTTCCTAAGTTCCAAATTCCCCAAATTCCAAATTCACCAAATTCCAAATTTTCCAAATTCCAAATTCCAAATTCCAAATTCAACAAATTCCAAATTCCCCAAATTCCAAATTCCCCAAATCCCAAATTCCCCAAATCTCAAATTCCCCAAATTCCAAATTCCCCAAATCCCAAATTCCCCAAATCTCAAATTCCCCAAATTCCAAATTCCCCAAATCCCAAATTCCCCAAATCTCAAATTCCCCAAATTCCAAATTCCCCAAATCCCAAATTCCCCAAATCTCAAATTCCCCAAATTCCAAATTCCCCAAATCCCAAATTCCCCAAATCTCAAATTCCCCAAATTCCAAATTCCCCAAATCCCAAATTCCCCAAATCTCAAATTCCCCAAATTCCAAATTCCCCAAATCCCAAATTCCCCAAATCTCAAATTCCCCAAATTCCAAATTCCCCAAATCCCAAATTCCCCAAATCTCAAATTCCCCAAATTCCAAATTCCCCAAGTTCCAAATTCCCCAAGTTCCAAATTCCCCAAGTTTCAAATTCCCCAAATCCCAAATTCCCCAAATCCCAAATTCCCCAAATCCCAAATTTCCCGAATCCCAAATTCCCCAAATCCTAAATTCCCCAAATCCCAAATCCCAAATTCCCTAAATCCCAAATTCCCCATATCCCAAATTCCCTAAATTCCACCTTAAATAAAAATCCCCAAAATCCCTAAATTCCCCCCTAAATAAAAATCCCCAAAATCCCCAAATTTCCTCTTAAACAAAAATTCCCAAAATTCCAAATTTTCCAAGTACCAATTTTTGCAAAATTTCTAGATTATAGAAATAATTTGTTTCACTACACTAACGTTATACCGGCGCTTTCGAATGGGAACTAACCGGTGATAGAAAAGGGAACCTTTACGTTCACTTAACAGAATATATTTGACAAATTTTTAAGGCACGTATACCTGCACGAATCGACTGTTTTCGTCACCTACCTGTCTACCCACGTACCCATTTACCTACCTACCTACTTTACTATTACCTATCTGTTCAACCACCTACCTGTCCGTCTGCCTGTCCGTCTATCCGGATTGCTTGGACTTGTTTGATGGCTGTGTTTGTCCGTGTAGGTTCACGGCTGGTGTGCCGAATGATAACGCGAACGAACAAGTCAATTACACCGCGATTTAACGTACTAGTATCGATCAAAGATCAATACGTAGTTACGTTGCAGTTAAACGAAATTTACGAGGTCGTACGATTGTTTTTTTTTGCCGAATCGATATTAAGTTAGCTTATTAACGTTTGTCTCTTTGTGATTGCAGACGAACGAGACGCGATCCAAAAGAAAACATTTACCAAATGGGTGAACAAGCATCTGAAAAAGGTAAGGTGACCTCCTCGAAACGTTTCGAACGTTTTCAACGTTGTTCGGTCGATGGGCGTATTCCGTTTATCGTGTAGGTTTTGTCAGAGTTGATCGTTATTTTAAGAATTGTCGAATATCAATTTTGAAGCGAGTTTCAGAGGATTCTTGTTACATTGCCATAAATGGGGATGCAGGAAAGGGAATTCTTGCAGTTGGTAATATGTTGTGTTCGTCAAAATTTTCACACATCAAACATGTGCTGATTGGCGATACGATTCGTAATTCGGCACGTTGCAATATAACGCGAGGCAATATAACTTATGGTAATTCCATGCGTGACGATACAACGCATAATAATTCAATGCGTGACGATGCAACGTGTGGGAATTCGGCACGTTGCAATGTACGCGTAGTAACTCCACGCGTGACGATATAACGCGCAGTAACTCCACGCGTGGCGATATAACGCGCAGTAATTCCACGCGCGACGATATAACGTGTAGCAATTCCACAGGTGGCAATATAACGTGCAGTAACTCAATAGGTGGCGATATAACGCGCAGTAATTCCACGCGGAGCGATATAACGCGCAGAAATTTCACGCGTGGCGATATAACGCGCAGTAACTCCACGCGTGGCAATATAACGCACAGTAACTCCACGCGTGGCGATATAACGCGTAGTGATTCTACGCGTGGTGATATAACGCGCAGTAACTCCACGTGTGGCGATATAACGCGCAGTACCTCTACGCGTGGCGATATAACGCGTACTCCACGCGTGGCGATATAACGCGCAGTAACTCCACGCGTGGCGATATAACGCGCAGTAACTCCACGCGTGGCGATATAACGCGCAGTAACTCCACGCGTGGCGATATAACGCGCAGTAACTCCACGCGTGGCGATATAACGCGCAGTAACTCCACGCGTGGCGATATAACGCGCAGTAACTCCACGCGTGGCGATATAACGCGCAGTAACTCCACGCGTGGCGATATAACGCGCAGTAACTCCACGCGTGGCGATATAACGCGCAGTAACTCCACGCGTGGCGATATAACGCGCAGTAACTCCACGCGTGGCGATATAACGCGCAGTAACTCCACGCGTGGCGATATAACGCGCAGTAACTCCACGCGTGGCGATATAACGCGCAGTAACTCCACGCGTGGCGATATAACGCGCAGTAACTCCACGCGTGGCGATATAACGCGCAGTAACTCCACGCGTGGCGATATAACGCGCAGTAACTCCACGCGTGGCAATATAACGCGCAGTAACCCCAAGCGTGGCGATATAACACGCAGTAACTCCACGCGTGGCGATACAACGCGCAGTAATTCGACGCGTGGTAATATAACGCGCAGCAATTCAACGCGTGGCGATATAACGCGAGCTAATTCCACGCGCAGTGATTCAACTGACGGCAATATAATGCGTGACAATTCGACGCGTGGCAATATAACAGGTGGTCTTTCAACGCATAGTCTTACAACATGTAACGCCTCTTCATACCATCTCAATATACCGCGAATCTCCTATATCCGAGTCGTCTTTAACCTACTTACACCTTCTCCGTATCGATTTCCTTACGACCATAATCTCTTAACTCGCGATTAAAAACCGTTCCTCGAATTTATACGATGGGTGTTCCTCCTAGAAGGCTAGTCCCCAGGCCCTTCCTTCAAAGTATCGAACCGATCCTAATTTTAGAGCGACCTTAGTAAGTACACAATAGTAGGAGGCCACGGGCTGGTGGAGTCGAAGGCGAGAGAGTATCGAAACACCTGATATGTAGGAACATACGAGGAGAGCCAGCGAGGCGCAACGCCGTGACAACCAGCTGTTTCGTAACCACATACGTAAACGATATAGGGGACGTTTCTGCTCCTGTCTGTCCATGTAGGTTGCATGCGTGGGTCGAGCATAATCCCTTCCAGGAGGGGTATTTCACGCGATGGCTATACATGGTAACGTACGCAAGAAATCGAGTAGGTGAAATCGAGAAAATCGGTTGCTATAATTGTGTTTCGATACGTGTCCCTTCTTTCTTTTAACTAGGTATACAAGGGTCTATCAGAGAAAATAATGGTCCGTGTTAATAAACCAGTGATTTGAATCGGTATTTAAATTTCACCAAGTAAGAAGCTATTGTATCTTTTATAGTGACTTTTGCATCGAGCAAACTTTACCCACAGTCACGTTCTTATCACCCTCAATTTCCATCAACTAATTACAACCTCCTTCATCTTCCAATTTCCCCTTCACAATGTATCCACGAAGTTCTAAAGTAGTGTACAAAGATCTCGGGATCGATTAGAGCTCCGTGAATCGCGTTGTTAACGACGCGTAGTTACGTGTACCAAGAAAATTGTATCGTCCATAATTATCAGTTGCAACGTCGATCAAAACACCTGGCTGGTCGAAGTTTCCTGCTCCTAGGAAGGGGAAGCTGTTTTCTTGCAGCGTAATTTGATTAATGAGATTCGAAGTACCGTCGTCGACGACTCGTTCCGAACAAACACCGCCACTGTTCTGCGTCTCGCGCATTCTCGAGCGAACACGTGACGCCCGATGAAAAAACGACGTTCGCCTCCGACGAGATGCCAGCGTCTATTCCGACGTCGATTGCTCGTCAGCGAGATGCCAGCGGCGATTCTGACGGCGATGACGAAACCGGCGGCGTGCGTGTTAATGGCCCCGACGAGCACGTTTGACCGCAACCGCGTCGTCGACGACCAACGACGCCGACGCCCGACGACGATGCGGCACGCGACCGCGAACAATTCTTGCAACTCGAGACACGTTAGCCTTGATCTCGCCGGTGACTCTCGTTTCTTCTTGATCCGAGGCTCGCGAAACGACGATGACGCTCCTTCTGTTGTGTTCGAAAAGGAAAAAGAATAACCAAAAGAGTACGCGATCGAGGGAGAGAGACGGAGGCACACGTTCAATGATAAATCGAGACGAGATAAATTCTTCGCATTGCTTTCTCGTTACGTTGTGGCCGTATGCAAAGTCAGCGGTCCAAGGAGAAAGGAGAAGAGAGGATGCAAGGTTGAAGGTGTTCGTAAGCGGCCAGTATAACTCGGCTAGCACTTCAAGGGTTATCGAGACTCTTTTCTTCTTATGTTAGTTAGCTCCTCGACCTCAGCTTCCATTTCGGCGCCTGCCAAAAATTATACACAACGTTGATTAACGTTAATGAAATTGCAATTAAACGAGTTACGTACATTTTCAAGTATAGCGTCTTCAAATGCAGCGAATGAGTTTGACTCTCGTTATATTGCCATTATTTGTTATGTTAGTTCCTCTTTTGTTAAACCAATCTGTTTAGCAGTGATTCAAAGAATTGTAAAGCAACGAATTACATAAATTTTGAAACAAATATAGCCTGTTGAGATGCAGTGCATTATAAGCTGTATAGATTGACTCTCCTTATATTGCCACTCTTTGTTACGTTAGTTAACTCCTTTTGTTAAACCAATCTGTTTTGCAATGATTCAAAGAATTGTAAAGCAACGAATTACATAAACTTTGAAACAAATATAGCCTGTTGAGATGCAGTGCCCCATAAGCTTCATAGATTGACTCTCGTTATATTGCCACTCTTTGTTACGTTAGTTAACTCCTTTTGTTAAACCAATCTGCTTAGCAGTGATTCAAAGATTTCTAAAGCAACGAATTACATAAATTTTAAAACAAATATAGCCTGTTGAGATGCAGTGCATTATAAGCTTCATAGATTGACTCTCGTTATATTGCCACTCTTTGTTACGTTAGTTAACTCCTTTTGTTAAACCGATCAGTTTAGCAATGATTCAAAGAATTGTAAAGCAACGAATTACATAAATTTTGAAACAAATATAGCCTGTTGCAGTGCATTATAAGCTGTATAGACTGACTCTCGTTATATTGCCACACTTTGAAAATGCTGCGACAGAAATGGTAGCTGATTAACATTAACGAATTTGTTTTGCAAATTTTAAAAGATTCGTGAAGTAATGAATTACGTAAATCTTGAGATAATTATATTGACGTTTATTGAACAGTGATAAATTTCAAGATTTATAGATTCATCGTTATATTTTTATGTTAGCTCCTCGACCTCAGCATCTATTTATAACACCGTCGAAAGTTTAGAAAAAAGAGATAGCAATGAAGAAATTGATGTCTTGCAATGTTTAAAAATAATCACATCAGTATTTGTTAAAATGAGATTATTTGCAAGGTGCACATACGAAGTCTCGTTATATTGCCACATTTTTCCGCGTGCGTTAGTGACGCACTCTCAGGAGATTTACGATATATTAAAAGGTCGATATTCTATTGTGACCGATGAATGCGATAGTTCACCTGCTGAGCACGTTGTATTGCTCCATGTTGTATATCTGCGTGTTCTATCGCAACGAGTTAGGCTTGTTACGTGTTGTGTATTAGAGCTGCTGTTATCGATAATGTCATCGACAAACGTCGATAATATCGAAATGCCGATAATTCAATATATCGGTAATATTGTTAAAGATTTAATTAAGACGAGTAAAGTGACTGACATAGAATGCACGTAATTTTATCCTTCAGATCTAATTACTTTTCCTAGGAATTAGATTCAACTACCGTTGTAGCTCAATCGAGAATAAATGGATATGAATGATGAAATTCAACCTAACTAGCATTAATCTAATATAGATCTATCGTACACCTAATAGAGTGTAACCGTAATTTAATATAATACTAATTTAATAAACTTGGATCTAACCTCTAATCTTGTGAACAAAACGTAACTTTGACTTAACCTAGCTTAATCCTAATTTAACCTAACCACAATACACACTTTTATCATCTATCAACAATCCAAAGTTTAACCAAAACTGAGTTTAAACATCATTCGATAATTGATAGCAGCAGCTCTGCATATTAAAATCGTTATTTCAATCACTATTACTAGAAGAAGAAGTGAATTCTCCACACTATTCGTCCGAAAACTCATTCACTGTAACTACAGCTTCAAGCAGACACAGATACAAATAAAATTTTGGCATTGTATAGCGACTGATGAGTATCTGTGCCGGTATCGAACAATCAGTTATCTGCACAGCCGCTAGTTGACGGTCAGTTATCTGTCCTGCTGACAGCGAACAGTCAGTTATCTGTGCAGCCGATAGCGAGCAGTCAGTCATCCACACAGACGGCAACGAGTGACCAGTTATCTGTGCAGCCGTTAGCAAGCGATCAGTTTATGCCGCCACTAGTTGGCGGTCAGTTATCTGTACAGCCGATAGCGAGCGGTCAGTTATCCGTACCGTTTAGTCTACTTTCTCCGAAACCACCCTCGTGGCGAAGTTTGCACTCACACAAATGTAGGTGAAGAGAGTTGTCGAGGTAGACGGTGACGAGGAGAGCCAGTTCGACCGACTTCGTCTCGGTAATGGATTCCAGGGTAATACGGCGAACGGTACTGCGTGTTTGCGCGTCGCTCGGTACTGGTTCTGTTGGCTACCTACCTGCTCGATTCCGAGCGCCCACCTTTCCTCTCGTAACTCTGACCTTATTCGGAAACGTTCTCCTGTGGACGACGTTCCCGATTTACCACCTCTTGCCTCGATAAGTAGGTGGGTAAGTAGGCAGTCAGGTACGCAGGTAGGCAATCGAGAAGTCAGTCAGTTAGAAGCCGCTACGGAGATGTTGCATAGAACCTCCAGAGAGGGAGAATGAGAAAAAATGAACGCGGCAATAGCTCAAGTGTGAGTGCATGCTTCATGACGCATCGTAGACAATTGCGTAACCATTTGGTGCCAGGAAATGGTCCGCTGAAGTAACATCCAGACGCTCATGAATTCCGAGGCGTTGAATAAAGGCATTCCGCGATTCTTCGCCGTGCTCTTAGCATGGAAGATTCTGCTCGGCTTCGGGCCCTGAAATAGCAGGTGGATCGAGGTCGCAGCGACGTTGATAATTAATATTAATATTTAATGATGATGCTGGGGTTAGGTTAATATAATTCGAATTTTAGTTCAGCACTTTTTTTAAGGTAGATAGTCCAGCCAACAAGAATTTGAAAATCCCGAAATATCCTCATCTTTACTGTTCAAATAACCTTTCAAAATTCTAACTCAAATCCTTAACACTTACTCCAGCAATGTACCCAGTCCACATAGTACCAACATCCACTTGCTCCCAATCAGTTTTGCAATAAAATCACGATCGAACTTAAATCGTTACAATAAAACATCGCCCATTGATAGGTAATCACGTTCCCCAATAAAATCGATCGCCCATCGACCGTACGCGTTTTTCTCGTTTACGCAATTTCGATCCCTGATCGGTCGTTGTCCCGAGCGTAGCTGCAAAAACACCGTGATTCGATCTTCCTTCTCGTATGTATACGTGCATCGTTTTACTTTCGTTTTACTCTCGCCCGAGAATAGTTGAAAGCGTCGTTACACTCGGCGTGACAGACAGACGTATATGTACGTTTCGCTCGCGACAACGCATCGATTGTTCCACCCAGATATCTGCGAATTACATAAGATCTATTGTAAGATATTGCTAATCACGATTCTTTCGATCCTTACGCTTACCGCAGCACTGGAAGTACGTCAAGGTACGAATCTTTTCCCTCTAACCGATTTCTCCTCGCGTATTATACACCGAAACGAGTGATTCGACGCGCGTTAGTTTCGACGATAATCTCTAATTGCATGTCGATAGTTTAGGACGTAAATCTAGAACCGTAGAATTCTGGACTTTGTTCTTTAAACTGTGTCTGGAAATATTCCTGAGGTTTGTAAGTTAGATGTTCAGTGTTAGACCCTTCCTTTGTTCTAGATTTCACCTTCTAAGAATTGACATGCAGTTCAGGATTATCCCGCTTAAAACCTAGCAAACTGTTCGCTAACGGGATCATTATTCCCGTGCTTTTGTGTTCGCATGCCAATAGAGGATCACTCGTTCTGTATGACCGACGGTAGCGAAACGTATTCGAAAATATATGTGCATGAACATTTTTGCAAGAAGCAAAATTTTGTTAAAGATCTGTACGATAAATTTACATCTATCTACTACGAGTTTGCAGAACATATCTAAAAAATTGCAGAATATACTCCAATATTTGAGTTTCTATTTCGAAAGAGAAAGCGGTTATCACAACCATCGCTAAAATTCCATGATTGCATAACTCGTTAATTACAGAAATAGAACGTCCATAAAAATTGCACTTGCGAATCTCTGTTCTGAATAAAGTACGTTCATGCACCTGCGTCTTCGAGTCTTTAGAGTCGAATTAGCACCGAGACGTTGCTCGTTGAGACGCGATCGGCAGCTACCGTTCGGTCAGATTTCAGGCTCCGGTAATAAAACAATTACACATCGTGCTCCTGTTTGTCAATCAATGTTTTTTTCAGACTTACACGTGCCTGCACGTGTGCGTCCTTGTGAACAACCAGCCATGCTGTTCCCCTACTGTAAGTCTAACCGCAGTTGTCGTTAACGACCATTGCCAATGTTACAAGGGATTTTCGCATGCTCCAAGAAAACCCGTGACTCGTTTTCTTCGTTTTATATGACCGTTACTGTACACGTACCGTATACACGTTTAACCCGATACTTCCTGCTTCCTTTACCGAGAATTAGGAGCCATGATTGTATGACTTTGTAGCCGACGTGCAAACGCGCGATCATAAAGACGATTCTGTATGACCATAATAGATTACCAGAGGTGGGATCCGAGTATACATTGTTGCTAGAATGGAATTTGGTTGGTTAATGAGGGAGAGGCAAAAGGGTGGATCCAGAATTAGATGAGATGGGTTTGAATTTTGGGGATTTTAGGAATTTGCAAGTTAGGGATTCTTGGATTTAGGGATTCGGGGATTTAGGGATTCGGGGATTTAGAGATTCGGGGATTTAGGGATTTAGGGATTCAGGGATCTAGGAATTCTGGGATCTAGGAATTCTGGGATCTAGGGATTCTTGGATCTAGGAATTCTGGGATCTAGGGATTCGGGGATCGAGGGATTCGGGAATCTAGGGATTCGGGGATCTAGGGATTCTTGGATCTAGGAATTCTTGGATCTAGGGATTCTTGGATCTAGGGATTCTTGGATCTAGGGATTCTTGGATCTAGGAATTCTGGGATCTAGGGATTTGGGGATCGAGGGATTCTTGGATCTAGGAATTCTGGGATCTAGGGATTCGGGGATCGAGGGATTCGGGGATCTAGGGATCCTTGGTTCTAGGGATCCTTGGTTCTAGGGATTCTTGGTTCTAGGGATTCTTGGATCTATGGATTCTTGGATCTAGGGATTCGGGGATCTAGGGATTCGGGGATCTAGGGATTCGGGGATCTAGGGATTCGGGGATCTAGGGATCCTTGGATCTAGGGATCCTTGGATCTAGGGATTCTTGTATCTACGAACTTTTGGATTTAGGTATTTGCAGATCTCTGAATTTTTGGATCTAGAGACTTGTAGGTGGTGGAAATTTTTAGAGATCTACGGATTTCTGGATAATGGAGATTTATAGATCTCTGGATTGCGACTATATAGATTAGGGTATCTAGATATTTATGGAACTTTGCATTTAGTCATCTAAGAATTTGTTAAATTAGAGATTAGAGAATCTCAAGATTTGGGGACCAAGTGATTTAGTGATCTGTAAATATATGATCTAGGGATTTAATCTAGAATTGCGCATTCTTCAGTTCAAAGATCTATTTGCATGTCTATAGATTTCAAAATCTGTGAATCTCGATAGGACGTGTTAATGGTATAAATTTCTAAATTTTGAAATTATTAAGATTTTAGAATTGAACATTTAAAAAATCTAATATTTGGAAACGGGTAACTCAGAACAAATTTCAAGAAAAAATAATATAGGTAAATTCAGATAATAGTAATTACGATTCTTTATGTGCCCATGCATAAACCTTGAATCTACCTCAAACCACAATAATTGAAATTCCGTATTTTCGTAATCATCCAAGACGTGCAATACGGAACTTGATTTCATCCTCGTCTCGATACGAAGATACGGTGTTATCTCATGCGATATTTAAACTTTAAGCAGGAGTTTGAGGGCCACGATCGCTGCGTTTGCACGTGACGCACCGCGTCGGGCAACTTGGCACGTTTATTTTCGCTAGGCACGCGATTATCTGTTCGCTACGTTTAGCCTATTCCACCTCCCCGTCCCGTACTATACCATCCTCGTGTCCGTGTGTTTGCACGTACTTGTAGTATTTATTGGTTGACCCGATGTCCCTTTTTTGGTGTTTCATTTAATCGCTTGACATTACTTTCAGTTGAGAATTTCTGGGAATCGGGGGGTTTTTTATTGGTACTCATAGGGGAAAACGTTGTTACAGGCCAGCAGACATGTAGGAGATTTGTTCGAAGACCTGCGGGACGGGCACAACCTCATTTCTTTGCTGGAGGTCCTCTCGGGCGAGCATCTCGTAAGTATTCACCGCCATACTGTTCCATTATCACTCGTCCGAGATACCAGACAATTGGCACTGTTCGGCTTAATCCACGACAGGGTGAAAATGCTCGTCACGTAATTGCCGGGGTAGAATCAACTTGACCCCAATTACCGTAATTGATGGATTGTACGTTTTGTCCATCCGAATGCGTTAAACCTTTCGCTACCTGCGAGTAATAACGTTAAACCTTTCGCTACGCGTATCGCAATTTTCTGGCAATGACACGGATTCTTTCGCAAATAATTAAATAACCGGGGGAATGTTTTAGCGAAAAAAAATCAGATCGGCATTGACACATATTCTTCTATAAACAATTAAGTAACTACACGAAACACTCTGAGTGATGAAATTGAACAGTACTCGAACTGTACAAGCCATGAATAATTCTAAACACGATCGCAGTCTGCATTTATTAACCTTGACCTTCGTGTGAACGCACTTTTAGCCGCGAGAAAGGGGTCGGATGCGTTTCCACATGCTGCAAAATGTACAGATGGCCCTTGATTTTCTGCGTTACAAGAAAATCAAGCTCGTCAATATCCGTGCCGAGGATATCGTCGATGGGAATCCAAAGTTGACGCTTGGTTTGATATGGACCATCATACTGCATTTCCAGGTGAGTACAATCCTTTGTGTCTTTACTTGTTACGATATCGATAAACACTCTTGCGACGTGATCAACAATAAAACGATTGATACGAGCATATTCGAATTTCATTCGAATCCTGCGTTCTAGAAATGTCAGCGTTTCTTGAAAATATGGTGCGTGCAATAGCGTTGCAATAGCGTACGTCAGATCTAATTTAAAGCTAATCTGTACACGATTCATGACGGACAATTATCGCTCTTATCTTAATTAGAGATATGGGTATCCAGTGATAGATATCAATCTATGAAGAAATACGGGGATATGGAGATCTAGGGAGATTGGAGGATTGGGATATAGAGATCTAGGGATATAGGAAGATACACATATTGGGGTCTAGGGATATTTGGATCAAGAAATATTTTTGGATCTAGGATATTGGGATTTAGGGATATTTGGATCTAGGGATATTGGGGTTTAGGGATATTTGGATCTACGGATATTTTTGGATCTAGGATATTGGGATTTAGGGATAATTGGATCTAGGGATATTGGGGTTTAGGGGTGTTGGGGTCTAGGAATATTGGGATTTAGGGATATTTGGATCTAGGAATATTGGGATTTAGGGATATTTGGATCTAGGGATTTTGGGGTTTAGGGATATTTGTATCTAGGAATATTGGGGTTTAGGGATTTTTGGATCTAGGGATATTGGGGTTTAGGGATATTTGGATCTACGGATATTTTTGGATCTAGGATATTGGGGTTTAGGGATATTTGGATCTAGGGATATTGGGATTTAGGGATATTTGAATCTAGGAATATTGGGGTTTAGGGATGTTGGGCTCTAGGGATATTTGGATCTAATGATATTTTGAATTCTAGGGATATTTTGAGATCTAATGATATTTTGGAATCTGGGGACTTGAGGATATTTTGGGATCTAGTGATATTTTAGGATGTACTGATATTTCGGGCTATAGGAATATTTCACGATCTAGTGATATTTTAGGATCTAAGGATATTGGGATCTAGGGATATATGGATGCATGGAGCTAGATTTTCACCAAGAGATATTGTCATCCAATAATTTAGTGATTTTATGATGTAGCAAAATGTAAAGAGTTAAAAGTGAAATTAAAAATTCATTGCTAGAAGATTAGGTTTAGGTTGAAGTTTTATAATTTAGGTATCTAGACATACAGAAATATTGCAACCCAAGAAATTTTCGTCACTTAGGAATTTTTTAAATAAAAAATTTTTTAGACCTTCCTAGATCTTTCAGACTATAAGTTACAGATTAGCATGCTTTGTACATTGCACATACTCCAATATATAGTGAACTCTCCTTATATTGCCACGCGTCTTACAAATACCATAAAAAATATCTCTTATCGTGGAATTCGTATGAAGTTCGATACGACTCGAATGCTCGACTATACTCGCAAGAGGAAATTTCGAATATCGAGTGTTTACGCGAGGATAGACTAGTGTACACAAGAAGTATCGATACACCTGGTTCGCCCTTTCGAAACGCGATTGGTTCCGAGAAAGAGCCATTTTGATATCCAGCTGTTTCAACTGTTGGTATCGAAGTTTGCGGGTGAGCAAACCGATACCGATCGAAAGTCCCGAGAAATGCGACGCGAGGGGAAAAGGCTAGGAGAATCATCGCGTAGGAATGTTCGACCACTCTCGTTTTTCTCGCGATTCTCGTTCCGATTGAAAGCGAGTCGGAGGGAAGTAAGTAGTCTCGTTCCAGGCGACGCTTGGCGCCGTCGAACGGCACGGAAACGGGAACGCGATTACGTTATTAGAGTGGCGGCCGAAGGAGAAGCCCCGGCGCCGTTTAAAAAGACTAGACCGATGCCGGACGTCGGATCGCGCGCAAAAAAGCGTGTTCGATCGCGGCGAGTAACCGCGTTACGGGATCATCGCACAAAGGGAGACAGTGTTCTTCGAACATGTCCAACGGATAGATCCACTATTTCTTTCCTCTATTTAATTTTAATAATCCGATCGTTAGGCATCTATCTAATCGCTTTTTGTTTTCTTTTTGCGCCGCAGAGCTGGCGACGCAAGGTAAGTTATCTAACATTTTTATGTAGTGGTTTTTCGACAGCGTCTTTAGAACATGATGAACGAGACAGTTCACCTGTTATTAGTCGTTCTCGTATTTTTAAATATTTTCTCCACGTCTGTTACGTTTATGATATTTCGTGGGCAGCCATTTTGTATTCAGAACGTGGCGCGCTTTGCAGACATTTTCATTAAGCTGTGAATGAGTAAGCGGTGTTTTCGTATACTTTGTTATCGAATTCTATTCGACTTTTCAGGCGATTCTACTGGAAATTGCTTTGGTTCTTTTGCTATGTTTTCAAGTCAGCCATTTTGGATAACAATGGTGCATCTATGTAGTCATTTTTATTAAATACTAAGCTTTAATTTGATGTAACATAAGTGCTCTTTTGATATACTTTTCAGTCATCAAATTATGTTGGTCCGTTCTTTGGACAATTTGATATATTGAAAATCTTTGGTTCTTTTGCTGCGTTTGAACGTCAGCCATTTTGTATTAAGAATAACCATGGTGCATCTATGTAGTCATTTTTATTAAACATTAAGCTTTAATTTGGTATAGCATAAGTGCTCTTTTGATATACTTTTCAGTCATCAAATTGTATTGGTCTGTTCTTTGGACAATCTGATATATTGAAAATCTTTGGTTCTTTTGCTGCGTTTGAACGTCAGCCATTTTGTATTAAGAATAACCATGGTGCATCTATGCAGTCATTTTTATTAAACATTAAGCTTCAATTTGGTATAGCATAAGTGCTTTTTTGACATACTTTTCAGTCATCAAATTGTATTGGTCTGTTCTTTTCAATCTGACACCATTGGTTCATTATTTATTCCAATTAAAAAGCAGCCATTTTGTGTTAAGAATAACCATGGTGCATTTATGTAGATATTTTCATTGAGTATCAAGCTTCAATTTGATATATCATAAGCATTACTTTTCAATACTTTTATGTCAACAAATCATGAGTGACTATCAGTCACCATTTTCCATAATCCACAATCAGCCATTTTGTGCTAAGGTTTACAGAAGGTTTACGTCTTCGAACTTGACTAACGTAATTGTAATTTAGCTAATCTTTTACCTCATCAAATATTGAAACTTCCGTCGTTTATTTCATAACAGAAATTTATCGTTACCTCCTGTTATCGACCGTGCAGATCGATCGACAGCAGGTAGATGGCGCTCGCATGTAGAGCAGCGTTCCATTCTCTGAAACCGCGGCGTTCCACGCGGAAACTTCGAACACCGCGATCTTCTAGATCACTTTACAAGATCTATTTCCCTAGACGCCATCCGTACGCGTCATTTTTCCGACTCGTGATGACTGTCCTTCCGTCTCGCGATACTCCTGACCGTTTATGGTAGTTTCCCGCGTGCGAGTCAACAAAGGCGGAAGGTTGACATAGCTGAGTCCAAAGCAATCGTTGGAATCTCGAGTCGTGGGAGGAGACCGAACTGGCTCAGTATCGGTATTTGTCTCCTGTGTCTCCCTCGAGCCACAACCGCCCACCTTGTAATTATGATAATAAGAATCGGACGCCGAATACAAAAAAGCCAATGACGACACTGACCAAGGTCATCCGTTACCGATTCCCTTCCTTTTTAGCGACGTCAACATCTCCACAGATTTCGCGCCTTCGCAAACTGCCCGGTGCATTTTCGGTTTTAGGTCGAATCAACTGGTGGCCATCCATTAGGTTCATTTATCATTCCTGTAGCCTTTAGGATGTCATGTCTACTTGTTGCTATTTTGCATGCAGTCTCCAATTTTTATTTTTGTAATTATAAATTGAAGGGCTGTGAGAATTCTTGTTTGGTAATTCGATGTGCTTGAAAACGGAATAAGAGGGTATCTTGTGCAAAATATGTTGGTGATAGATGAATGCTATTAAATGTAAAAGAATATGTAACAGATCAAATATAGAATGATCATAAACATACAGATGATCACATGTAAATATACTGATGACCAAAATGAAACACACAGATGATCAAATGTAAACATACTGATGATCAAAATGAAACATACAGATGATCACATGTAAACATACTAATGACCAAATTGAGATGATCAAATGATCAAACGATAAAATAAGAATGACCAAACAGATTAAACATAAATGATCAATCAGAAGAAATAAATCTTATCCAATAACCATTCATCTTGTCACCAGCATAACGTGCCTGTTAGTTACAAATTCCCGTAGCTGTTCAGACTTTCTTTTGTCAGCCGGACAAAAGTATGTACCTCTACATACGCAACATACGATACACATCTGGAATAGTGACTTGCAGGCTGATTCGTAAGGATACATTCCGGTGGGGAGAAGCCATCTGTCAGGGTGACACTCGCGCTTAAAATTTCAAATTAACGCTAAATCCGTAGCTATAACCGGGCATAAAAGTTTCCATATGGAGGAAGAGGAGGTTCAACCGAATCGGTGGGTCTCGCAACGGAAGCGCAGACTGGAGTCGCGAAGCGATGACGTCACGTCCGGTCTCGAGTAGTCGCGACTCTCTGCTCGACCGTTTCCCGTTCCTTTTTTTCTCCTCGGGTTCGCGGACTCAGGGACGTTCTATTTTCGTTCCTTTCAAACTTCGTCCGCTTATTTAGTCATTGTTTTCGAGATGGACGTCCTCGAGATGAGCCAACGCGACAATTAATTACCGACACGTACGGATTAGGTAAATCTAACGCGAATCGGCTCCCGGTTCGGTACTCGACGTTTTACTGTGCCACATGATCGTAAAGTCTCTGGAAAAGGAAAAGGAAGGACACGATGCGCGACGAACGAATCCGTCGTTCCAGTCCCCGTCGTGTCGGTTCGCTGAGCCTCGAAGTGGGGTCTCGTTCCACTCGCTATAAGACCTCCTGATGACTCGACCGGTATCGCGGCCGCGCATGCGCGATCTTGCACCGATTACAATAACAACTATGACCAAATCGCGAGGACGCTCGAGGACATTTTAGGGGGGCGGAAGCGTTAAATGTTATAACGGATGAAATTTAACTTATGTACTCCTTTATTGTTGCTCGTTGAAACAGATTGATGATTGCCCCATTAACCCATTAACCTCTTCAAGGACACCTTTAGGGCTGTTTATTTCACGTTGTATAATACGTTACGCTTCGTAAGAAAAAGTACTGCATTCTGTTACGTGGACGTTATATGAAAACTTCGGATCTTATAACCGATTTTATCGGAGATTTCGTTATACAATCGGCTACTTTTGTTTGTAAAATATATCTAATTACGAGAATGAAAGTGATGGTAAACCAGTTTGTACCTGGAAGGTAGTGGAATATTTCATAAAAAAATGTAGGAAATTCATAAGTTTGATAACCGTAAATAGATGACCTCATAGGTAATCACTATCTGACGTAACTGTAGATGACGTCGAATTTCGCAGACACGAATTACCGAGCCATAAATAACTAACGTAATTCATAAATAATTGAAATAATTATAAAATTCAATTTACAGTAGTTTATTTGCAAACAGGAATACTGTCACATAAATAACGCTTAACTATCGTTACCTAGTAAAAGAAATAGTAGGAATTTCCTCAAAGTTCCCTAAATTTGATACGAAGGATCAATGTGGCTAGATTGACGAGTACAATAGAGAAGATAATTAATTTGAAAGAAACATTTGGCCGAGACAGGGTGGGCAGGATGGAGCCGGCCACGGTATGACAAGCACGAGAAAATAAGGAGGGGGTCAGTGAGAGAGGGGGCGAGAGAGAGAAAGAAAGAGAGTGGGGAATAAAGAGGGGGATTTGTCGGAGGCGTCTCTCACCTGTGCGCATTTCGTTGGCCTACTCTCGCGACGGCAGCCGGATACAACGCGGCATGCTGTCGGTCGTTCGGTGAATCGCGACGCATCTTCTTGTGCCGTTCCACGATAGCATCCGATCAGGCTTTTAAAACGCGTCTGGCGCCGACAGATAGAGAGGGACACGCGGTCGTGCAACGAAACCTTACCGGTGAAACGAGCGCGTAAAACGAGGAAGAGACTCGAAGTGGGGATCGGTTCCGATGAGCCGACCTGTACACAGTGCACGACAGTCGGTGCTCGCGATACGACCGAGTGGTGTCTCCCAGATCCTTGTCCCTCCCACCGACATTGTCTCCCGGATCGGTACACGCGACTCAGTTGGTGCTAAAAACACGAGGAACAACGATAAGCAAACGAGAATCGATAAAACGGACTTTCCGAAGAGAGGTCGATCCACGATAATCGGCTTTCACGAGGCTAGCGGCGACTCGACGCCGGATAAGGCTACGAATCGCCGAGTATACGTGCCTTGCCTCTCTTTAGGCCGATGATAGTTTCTTCGAAGCGTCTCGGTCCTTCAACGACGACCGTGAAACGTGCACCCTGCGATTTTCATACACGAGATGTCTATTTATCGGTTTAGCAAAGGGGGGCGGTTGTTCGTGCAAGGCACGAGGGAAGACGACCCCAGGGACAACGTTGTCTCGCCTGCCCCGACCAACGTCACCACCGGCGATGACTTGAGGGCGGTTTATACCAAACGACGACTCTCCACTGAGGTTCTTGGTAGGGTTTCGATTAGCGATCACCGAGTTACGGGTTTTGAGATTACGTCGATTTTTAACTTGGAGTTTGTCTGAGGGATTTCGTTGCGGGTCGTTGGGCTTTACTGGGGGGAGCTAGACTGAACATAGCCATGTTTATATTAACATAGTCATGTTTATATGAAACAAACGTTTTAGTAACGAAAACATTTCATACTTAATAACGAAATTTCATATTTAATAACCAAAATGTTTTATAGTACTTTCATAACAAAAGGTTGTTTATAACTTTAGTAAATAGCAAAAGTTTTTATATGACCTTAACAAGAGCTTGTACATAACTTCAACAAATAACAAACTCTTGCAAGAATTTTTGCAAGTTACATTACTAATATTATTAATGCATTTTAGAAGAATTCATTGTATAATAAATAGCATTTTATTTGCACTAAAATTGTCTTACAAAATTTTAACAAATCTTCTTTGCACAAAAAGTGTCATATAAAATTTTAACACATCTTCTTTGCACAAAAATTGTCTTACAAAATTTTAACAAATCTTCTTTGCACAAAAATTGTCTTACTAAATTTTAACAAATCTTCTTTGCACAAAAAGTGTCATACAAAATTTTAACAAATCTTGTAAGGCTAATTTTAATGAACCTACTTAGAATATTATGAATAGTTTAGAATAATTGTAACAAAAAAAGCAGCTACAATTTAAAATAATTAATAACTGTCTTTACAAATAATTTTAAGTTTGAAATAGTTGCATGTATAACCTCAAAAGTCGTCTTACAAAATCTTAACAAATCTTCTTTGCACAAAAATTGTCTTACTAAATTTTAACAAATCTTCTTTGCACAAAAATTGTCTTACAAAATTTTAACAAATCTTCTTTGCACAAAAAGTGTCATACAAAATTTTAACAAATCTTGTAAGGCTAATTTTAATGAACCTACTTAGAATATTATGAATAGTTTAGAATAATTGTAACAAAAAAAGCAGCTACAATTTAAAATAATTAATAACTGTCTTTACAAATAATTTTAAGTTTGAAATAGTTGCATGTATAACCTCAAAAGTCTATTTACTTCATTTGAACAAATCTTCTTTGCACAAAAATTGTCTTACAAAATTGTAACAAATCTTGTAAGACTCATTTTAATGAACCTACTTAGAATATTATGAATAATTTAGAATAATTGTGAGAAAAAAAGTAGCTACAATTTAAAATAACCAATAACTGTCATTGAGAAATAATTTCAAGTATAAAACAGTTGCATGCATAACCTCAAAAGTCTATTTACTTCATCCTCCACATATCTCTCACTTCATTTATAATTGACATTCATTTAAAATCATGTAACTGTCGAGCTAATTCATTCTTGAATCACAAATTGTGACTTGCAAAATTTGCCAAATAACACTTTCCTAATTATGTAATAGCAAGACTGAACAAATGTTCATTTTGTATTAATGTACAAAAGTATAAATTTTTATGGAGGAGGCTTCAGTCTAGCTCCGTAAATGGTCAGCGTGGAATCCAGTGGATGTGCGAGCCGATCGTGACGCGATTTTAAATCAGCTGTTCAATCGCGATTACAATGTCTCCTGCTCGTAACTCGTAATCTCACGGTGCTTGTAAAATTCGCGCAACCGTGCTCGGCGTGTTTACGTAGCGATTGATAACGCTATTTAGGATCTTCGATCGAGTCAACGAAGACGTCGAAACGCGGTGAGAACGGGACAAAACGTATCGTGACTCGTATCGTTCGTAAAACGACTACGTTGACGAGGGGCGAGGAACGATGCGTGGCAGAGGATCTGACGAAACGAGCCTCCGCGGGGTACTTGCTGGAAAGCACCGCTTCCTCTTCCTCCTTGTGTCGACAGGCATCGCCAAAACCGAAAACCGTTCGGGTAAGCGTGCGTTCGAGCGTTTAGGCGCAATAGCGAGAGGTCGTCGAGAATCAAAGGGCGAACCAAGCGAAAACAATCTTATTTTTAAGTGTGGTAAACAGTGTTTGGCATTCACGGTTGGAAATGTTATTTCTTATTCTAATAAGTTTGTCTTACATCAGGTTTTTTAGGACGAAGCGAGAGGCACTGTACTTGTCTGAGTGTCAACAGTGAGGGATTTGAAATCATTCTTTTAGGTATGCGGAGAGTATATGGAATCTAGGACTGGAAAGATTTTAGACTGGGACTCAGAAAGTAGAAGAGTGTCTAGAACTAGAATGAGGGATTAGGAGGCTTAAGAGTAAGAAGTACTAGAGATTAGTCAGTATTTAGAAATTATGGGGAGATTAAGAAGTGGAGTATAGAGATGAGTGTAGAAGTCTAGAAATCAGGAGGATAAGTAGCTGGGTATCTTATCTAGGTGGGTAGCTTATGTGGAGGGAAATTTTAAATCTTAAAGTCTAGATGAATTCTGGGGACCAGGTGGAACCTATGGAATGGAGGTAAAGTTAGGAACTATGATTTTAAGGAGTTTGTGAAACGTAGAGGTTAGTCTGAGGACTACAGAGCCTAAGGACTAGAGTTTGAGGATTAGAATCTAGTCACTAAGTGATGTCTCAAGATCAAGTAGAATCTACACTAGGTGAAGTCAAAAGACTAAGTAGAATTTACATTAGGCAAAGTTTAAAGATCAGGCAGAATCTACACTAGGTGACGTCAAAAGATTAGATAGAATCTACATGAGGTTTAAAGATCAGGTAGAGTTCAAGCACAAGGTGAAGACTAAGAATAGAGTCAGAACTAGGAGCCTATAAAGGAAGTGGAGTATAAACAGAAGTAGTCAAAGAACTAGAGAGAGTGTACCAAATGAAAACCTAGGAAGATTCAAGAGAGCCTAGAAACAGCTTACGGAGACCTAAATACATCTCATTGGTGACAACCAGACAAATGCAGTGTCTCTGATCTAGTCTAATACATATCCTCAGAAGTACCTCATATCCGAGACACTAATGTCTAATTCTGAAACGACCAAACCACTATGTACCTGAATATCAAAGTACCTACCTAAATATATAATTAAATTGAATTTGTCTTTTGCACAGATATCCGATATAGTAGTGGGTCAGGAACCGAACGTAACTGCCCGCGAAGCTCTCCTAAGATGGGCAAGACGCTCGACGGCGCGTTACCCAGGTGTGAGGGTGACAGACTTTACCGGGTCCTGGAGGGACGGTTTGGCTTTCAGCGCATTGATACACCGAAACAGGCCAGATTTGGTCGATTGGAGAGGCGCTCGTGCAAGTCAGCCACGAGAGCGGCTCGATCGGGTCTTCCACGTCGCGGAGCGCGAGTATGGCGTTACGAGGCTTCTCGATCCCGAAGGTAATTACTTTTTCATCCGTTTATTTCTATCGTTCATAGTTTCTCTCGTGCGTTTTCTCCGCTGTCCATTTCTTTTTCTCCTACGCGAAATGTTGGCCCGTTTCCGGTCGACGCTTGGACCGTGACGCGCTCGATCTCTCATCCCCCCCTTTCCTTTTTCCCTTTTACACGATAAACCTTGTTTGGTTTCCTTTTTTTGGAAATGGAAAGCGTGGTAACCGGTTCAACTGGACAGTGAACGTGACGGTCCTCGGTAATAAGGGGTTAATCGTGGAGGAAGGTCAGATCTCAATTTCAACTTAATAGCTTCAGATTTGTGGAATTTGGGTTGTTCAGAAATTTGAGTATTCGAGGATTTCAATAATTTTGTGTTACGGTAATTAATCCTCTAATTCGAGCTTCCCTAACTCAGAGAATCCATAAATCAAACTTCTCTAAATACAGAGGATCCTAGAATTGGACTAACCTAACCTAACCTGATCTAAATCTCAACCTAACCTGACCAAACCCTCTAATTCAAGCTTCCCTAATTCAGAGAATCCATAAATCAAACCTCTCTAAATACAGAGGCGAATCTTAGATTTGGACCTAACCTAACCTAACCTGATCTAAATCTCAACCTAACCTGACCAAACCCTCTAATTCAAGCTTCCCTAATTCAGAGAATCCATAAATCAAACTTCTCTAAATACAGAGGATCCTAGAATTGGACTAACCTAACCTAACCTGATCTAAATCTCAACCTAACCTGACCAAACCCTCTAATTCAAGCTTCCCTAATTCAGAGAATCCATAAATCAAACTTCTCTAAATACAGAGGATCCTAGAATTGGACTAACCTAACCTAACCTGATCTAAATCTCAACCTAACCTGACCAAACCCTCTAATTCAAGCTTCCCTAATTCAGAGAATCCATAAATCAAACTTCTCTAAATACAGAGGATCCTAGAATTGGACTAACCTAACCTAACCTGATCTAAATCTCAACCTAACCTGACCAAACCCTCTAATTCAAGCTTCCCTAATTCAGAGAATCCATAAATCAAACTTCTCTAAATACAGAGGATCCTAGAATTGGACTAACCTAACCTAACCTGATCTAAATCTCAACCTAACCTGACCAAACCCTCTAATTCAAGCTTCCCTAATTCAGAGAATCCATAAATCAAACTTCTCTAAATACAGAGGATCCTAAAATTGGACCTAACCTAACCTAACCTGATCTAAATCTCAACCTAACCTGACCAAACCCTCTAATTCAAGCTTCCCTAATTCAGAGAATCCATAAATCAAACTTCTCTAAATACAGAGGATCCTAAAATTGGACCTAACCTAACCTAACCTGATCCAAATCTCAACCTAACCTGACCAAAATCTTAACCTAACTTAAACAGTAACTCTCCTGACTACAAACTCTACAACACATATTCAGTTTTCATCTCATCAAAGATTCCACACCCAACCACATTCTAACTAATCTGAATCTTATTTTGCAGATGTGGATACACCGGAACCGGATGAGAAGTCCTTGATAACGTACATCTCTTCGCTCTACGACGTGTTCCCGGAGCCGCCAGCTATCCACCCGTTATACGACGCGGAAGCTCAAAGACGTTCGGCTGAATACCGAGAGCTGGCCAACTCTCTCCATATGTGGATCCGCGAGAAGATGTGTCTGATGCAAGAACGTGCCTTCCCTCCGACCCTGATCGAAATGAAGAAACTGGCGGCCGACAGCACCAAATTCAAGAACGAGGAGGTGCCACCGCGATACAGGGACAAGCAAAGGCTCGCATACATATTCAGGGATCTTCAGAAGTACTTTGAAGCGGTTGGCGAAGTGGATATGGAACCTGAGTTGCATATCGAAGTGATCGAAAAGAACTGGAACCGACTGATGATGCTGCATCAAGAAAGGGAGCAGGCGATCATCGACGAAATTAAACGGTAAAGGGTCGTTCAAACTTGCTGACTTTTGCTCGTATACAATTGTAACTTTGTATTAGTTGTACGACTGTTTGTATATGTTGTTTGTGTACGTAGAATGTCAGCAAATAATATCTGTAAGTTTCTGGACATCCAGATACTGAAATGGGTTAGGCTGAATTACATTTATCTTAAAGAATTAAACTAGCGTATTATAGTTTATTGTTGATTGTTTAATGTGGAGTTAGGACATGTATTTATGGTTTATATTTGTTCAGACTCGAACGACTACAACGACTGGCCGAGAAGGTTCACAGAGAGATGAAGTCGACCGACAATCGGTTGGAGGAGCTAGAGAGACGAGTAGAAGACGAAGCGCGACGTCTCGATCGACTTCATCCCCTAGAGGCTAAACACGCCGTGGACCTTCTGGAACAGGATATACGCAACACCGAGATTCAAATTCAAAATATTTTCACGGACGTGCACACTCTTACCGAGGGAAGATACAGCCAAGCGGCCGAACTTCACAAAAGGTATCTTCATCTCCCAAATCAATGAAGATCATACACTTATGATCATTTAAATATGAATATATCACTGTAAAAATTTTGCGTTTCAGAGTACAGAAGCTACATCAACGATGGGTCGCATTGCGATCTCTCCTTCATAAACGTTTGGTACAGCCACTGTCGGCCGTGTCCTTCCCGGTAGAAGAACGCGTCGTGACGAAACACCGTACTACCGTCCACGAAACACGACTGGTGGATACCAATCCACATTTCCGAGCCTTGCACGATTGCATCGATTGGTGCAAAGCTAAAATCAAACAGCTGCAGGATGCAGATTACGGGTCAGATTTGCCTAGCGTACAGAACGAGTTGGACGTTCATCAAAGAGAACACAAGAACATCGAACAATTCCATCCTAAAGTGGACAGATGCGTGCAAGCCAAGAGCCATTTCCATGGCGAAGAGTTGACGTTGTACAGTCAGCATCTCGCCGTTCTACAGAAACTTTACACCGAGCTGTTATCGGCCTCTAACAAGAGACTTTCCGATTTGGACACGTTACACGATTTTATACAATCGGCCACCGGCGAACTGGTCTGGCTCAGTTCCAAGGAAGAAACAGAGGTGACGCGCGATTGGAGCGACAAGAATTTGAACGTGCAAAGCATCGAACAGTATTACGAGGTATTCGATGTTCCAGTATTTTGGTTGCTTGAAAATACTTCTTATCTTGCTAGATTTAAAATAAGACGGGTTAATGTTTTTTCTTCTTTACAAGCGTACGTACGGATCTGGCATAGAGGTAATCTAGTTTAAGTGATTGTAATTACGTCTTTAAACGAGAGCCTACTGAACCGTAACAAGCAACCGAGTATTGAATTTCCAAACTGTTTAATTTTACAGTCCCTAATGAGCGACCTAGAAAAGCGAGAAATCCAATTCTCCGCGGTACAAGATCGCGGCGAAGCGTTGGTTCTTCAACATCACCCAGCCGCAAAGACGATCGAGGCGTACATGTCTGCTATGCAAAGTCAGTGGGCTTGGCTTCTCCAGTTGACCCTCTGTTTAGAAGTTCATCTGAAACACGCAGCGCAGAGCCAGCAATTCTTCCGGGATATTCAACAAGCAGAACAATGGATATCGAAGAGGGACGAGACGCTGAACACCATTTACTCTCAGTCCGATTTCTCCTTGGACGAGGGTGAACGTCTTTTGAAAGGCATGCAAGAACTGCGCGAGGAATTGAACAGTTACGGCGATCACGTGCAGAAGCTAGTCGAACAAGCGAAGGACGTTGTTCCTATGAAACAACGACGACAACCCGTGACCCGACCTATGCAAGTCACATGTATCTGTAGTTACAAACAGGTCAGTCATCGGTTTTATGATGCAAACCCAGTACGGAACGTCTTTTTATAAAGACCGGTTCAATAGCGTAGCATCACGGATCTGTTTATGCAACTGCTTATGCTAATACACTCTGTTTCAGATGCCGATCGAGAAGGGAGAACAATGTACATTATACGACAACTCTGGTAGAATAAAATGGCGTGTCAAGAACCAAGAGGGAGTCGAGTCTCCCGTACCAGGTGTCTGCTTCGCGCTTCAACCTCCGGACAAGGACGCTCTCGACGCTGCGGAGAGATTACGAAGACAATACGACCGAAGCGTCGCGTTATGGCAACGCAAACAACTCCGACTACGACAGAACATGATATTCGCGACCATCAAAGTGGTGAAGGGCTGGGATCTGCCTCAATTCCTAGCCATGGGTCAAGATCAGCGAACAGCCATCAGAAAGGCGTTGAACGAAGATGCCGAGAAGCTGCTATCCGAAGGCGACCCGGCTGATCCACAACTGAGACGACTGAAACGAGAAATGGCCGAGGTGAACAAGTTGTTCGACGAACTAGAGAAGCGTGCTCGAGCGGAAGAGGAATCGAAGAATGCAGGCCGTATCTTTAACGATCAGATCTCCAGCCTTCAACAAGCGCTCGACGAAGCCGAGAGAGTTCTGAACTCCCGTATAGCTGCCCCGTTGCCCAGAGACCTTGACAGTCTGGAGCACCTGGTTCTGCAGCACAAGGACTACGAGCAAAGTCTACGGCGTCTCGCACCGGACCTCGACCGAGTTCAGCAAACCTTCCGCGGTATCACCCTGAAGACTCCAGCGATGAGGAACAAGCTCGACGCTGTCACTACCAAGTGGAATCACATCTGGAACATCAGTAATCTGTACATAGAACGGCTCAAGTGCGTCGAGATCGTGCTTTCTAGCCTCGAAGAGAACACCACCGCGATATCCGAGTTCGAAGTGAAGTTAGCGTCCTTCGACGAGTTGCCATCCGACTTGAAGGGTCTACAGAACGTGCTGGAAGACCTGATGGTACTCCAGAACGCCATCGCACAACAACAGAGCGTAATGGATCAGTTGAACGAGGACGCGCACAATGCTAGACGCCTGGTAGAAAAGTCAAGATCAAATCATCGCGGTCCACATTCAGACATGGATCGTTTGGACGCTGAAGTGAACCGGTTGAACGCTAGGTGGACCAATCTTTGCGGACAACTGGTCGACAGACTTCGAAGCGCAGAGGCAGCTTACGGTCTGGCGCAGCAGTTGGAACACGCTTACAGAAACGAGGTTGATTTTGTCGATGAGTCCTACGCGAAACTGGAAGTGGAGAACGCGAAGGTGAGAGTACGATTGTGTTGACGTGTTTTATTCTCTCGGTAAGGTGGTAGATAAAGTGCCAGAGGAATGCAAAGTTTAATTGTTGTGTTGATGAAGTAACGAGGAGATAAGTGAAGTATTTTTCATTGCTTTTAGAACCTGCTGAACAAGGTGGTGGAACGAGCGCCTGCGATCGAGGCGGTAAATGTGACCGGAGGTCGATTGATCCGCGAAGGGAAGGTAAGATGAGACGCGACACGGTCGCGAATGGGTATTCGCAAGCCTTTAGGTAGGCTTAGCTAGCATTTAGGTAGCCTTTAGGTAGCCTTAGCTTACGGTATGAACGCTTGCGTGAATGGTATATTGCGTGAGTCCTTTCTTTTGTTTACGTATTATTTCCTTTAGAAGAACACGTCGCGCCAATTGTTCCGCGTTACGTTTCCCACGTGGTGTATACTCCTGTTTCGATTCTTACCCCGTTTGTCCTGTGAAGTCTGTCCACCTCGATGAACCTGCTAGATCTATAGTGAATCTCTGGCTGCGAGGATGTCCATCGTCGTCGTCCATGGTTCTCTTCCTCCGTGGGTCATCGCCGTATATTGTCATCCAGCTGCAATATCACTAGGAATATCGCTACCGTTGTATCACTGTCGCCGCTATGGACTTCTAGCAACCACCATCGATCGCAACCCTTTATTTTTCAGCCGGGGTTTTTTCCATACCAGCTTTACTACAAATCGTACGGCCAACGAAAGTCAGAGGCTCGTTACGATACAACGTATCTAGATTTCTTCGAGTTTTCAATTGTTTTGCAGGGTCAAGGATTCATCGCGAGCTACATTCCTCTCGCTTTTATCTCGCACTAAATATCGCTTCAATTTGGGTTATTTTTTTCTCGCGTCGTAGTTGCTGTAAGATGCTGACGCTTTTCACTCGGATATGGCTGAGGCTGTCGAACAGAAATTCTTTCGCGATTGGATTCAAATGTTCCGGCATTCGGGGTGGTAAATTCAAACGCTTTTAATACGCTTTCCGCTTCGAACACCTTGGAGATTGTACACGAGCTTGCTTCCTCTTCCGTGGTTGTAATCGCTTGTAGATTTTCTCATGCAGTTCTTGAGTTACATTTCTAAATTTCCAAATTTTCACATTCGCAAATTTTCAATTCCTTAAAGTGTTCAATCCCTAAGTTCTTGATTTGTTAGAACACTAAATTTGTAACTCTTTAAATCCCTCAATTCTCAATTTCTTATATTGTTGAATCCATAAATTCTTGACTTGTTAGAACACTAAAATTGTAACTCTTTAAGTACCTCACTTTTCAATTCCTTATATTGTTCAATCCCTAAGTTCTTGATTTGTTAGAACACTAAATTTGTAACTCTTTAAATACCTCAATTCTCAATTCCTTAAAGTGTTCAATCCCTAAGTTCTTGACTTGTTACAACACTAAATTTGTAACTCTTTAAATACCTCAGTTCTCAATTTCTTATATTGTTGAATTCATAAATTCTTGACTTGTTAGAACACTAAAATTGTAACTCTTTAAGTACCTCAGTTCTCAATTTCTTATATTGTTGAATCCATAAATTCTTGACTTGTTAGAACACTAAATTTGTAACTCTTTAAATCCCTCAATTCTCAATTTCTTATATTGTTGAATTCATAAATTCTTGACTTGTTAGAACACTAAATTTGTAACTCTTTAAATACCTCACTTCTCAATTCCTTATATTGTTCAATCCCTAAGTTCTTGATTTATTAGCACACTAGATTTGTAACTCTTTATATTCCTAAATTCTCAATTCCGTAAATTGTTAGATCCTCAAGTTCTTGACTTGTTAGAATACTAAATTTGTAACTCTTTATATCCCTAAATTCTCAATTCCCTAAATTGATAGATCCTCAAGTTCTTGACTTCTTAGAATACTAAATTTGTAACTCATTGAGTGTTTAAAGCTGTAAAATCCTAGATTTCCAAAACCCCAAAGCTCTAAATTTTTAATCTCCAAATCCTTACATTTCCAAATTTCCAAATCCTTAAATCTTCAAATCTTGAAATCACCAAATCCTTAAATCTCCAAATTCTCATATTTTTAAATCTTCAAACCCTTATATTTCCAAATCTTGAAATCTCCAAATCCTTAAATCTCTAAATCTTGAAATCTTGAAATCTTCAAATCCTTAAATCTCTAAATCTCCAAATCTTCAAATCTTCAAATCTCTTAATCTCCAAATCCTTAAATTCCCTAATGCCTAAACCTCCAAATTCCCAAATCTCCAAATCCCCAAATCCTCAAATTTCCAAATCTCTAAATCCCCATATCTCTGACCCATCAAATCCCTTAAACCCCAAATCTCTGACCCATCAAATCCCTTAAACCCCAAATCCCTAAATCTTCAAATCCTCAATCTCCAAATCCCCAAATCCCCCAATCCTCAATCTCCAAATCCCTAAATCCCAAATTCGCACATTTCCCAGGGAAGCCACACTAAAGTGTACACCGTCACCAGCTTCTTTCACTCGGTTCTAACCGTTAGACGAACATGGTAGATCGCTTGAAGATGCTGAACCGCGTAAACGCGATCGATTTTGTCCCCGAAAACCGCTTGAGCTTGAAGACCGAGGGTACCGTAGGACGATGGTACTAGGAATGCTAAGGGAATAGAAGGGTTAGCGATGCACAGGCGAGAATCTAATACTTATGCACTAACCGTAACGGGCTAACCGAAACCCTTAGATCTACGGACAAAGGCTTCGAGCGTTCAAGGAACAGTTGGAAGATATCTGTCCGTCTTTGGACGCTTCGGTGAAGAAACCACGACGCGAATATGTTTCGACGGTCGACGACGTCGCTAGAGACCTAGATACTCTCAACAGGAGATACACCACCCTGGTGAATATCCTTCAGGAGAAGGTTAAACAGCTGGCAGCGCAACATCCTGAGGATACGTCTCTTCAGGTAAAATTTATTACCGTAGCCTTTATTTCATTTATTACCGTTACGAACAGCGACATTTTGCGTTATCATGCAACCAAGTTTTAGGGGAGTTACAATATTTTTAAGATGTCACACTAACATTTTATAGAAAAAAACAATTTTGTAATTTTTTAAGATTCTAAAGGTATTGCCCGCCTTAAATTTAAGTTCCGTTACTTTTCACATACTGCGTACAATGAAAGATATAGAAACTGTGTCATCAGGTTATTACTTAATTTCCTAGTAACCGTTAGCAAGTGATAACCTAACGCGTATTTGCATAAACTTAGATACTTGAACCGCGAAAGGTTAAGATACGATTTCAGTATACAAGATTCTATTGTTACGATTTTATTGTCACTTAATATTATAGTTCTCATTTTGCATCTCAGCTAAAGTCGTCAATGTAGAAAGCACTATAAATACTATTGTCAGATCACAGCTCAAATTTCACGCCTCTCAATCACGGACTCTAGCCAGAAGGCACACTTATCCCAGAAAAGACTACCCATTCAGATTTATCAATTATTAACACGGAGATACCAAATTGGCAATGACCAAGTCTCTCCTTGAAATTCGCCCACGCACCAATGCTCACGAATAATTAAACCCGTTTTCTCGTTACGGAATGACGCGTTGTTACGTTGTTACAAAAAGTTTCATCCTTCCCGCCGCCTCTGCAAGGGATCGATATTTGCTCGCTTTACAGTGATGGCGAAACTTATCGCATTTTATCTTTTTTCCAAAATTTAATTTTTATTTAATACTTTGATACTTGTAGATAACATTGTTTTATACCTTTGAAATATTTGTTGTTATGATATTTGTAATCGATATTGTGGAGATAAGATTTTGTACACGATGACAAATTATTAATTGATGATATTTCTTTTAGGAAATTTATGAATTTAATTTGTAGGTTTGGAAATTTAGTATCGTGCAAAACAGTAATTTGAAAGTCGGTAAATTCATGAAGTAAATTTGTGAATTTAATTTGCAGATTTGGAAATGTAACTTGCAGAAGTTTAATTTAAAAGTCAGTAAATTTGTGAAGTAAAATTTTGAAGTTGATTTGCCAGTTTGTGAAGATTTGTAGATTCGTGAAATTAATTTGCAAGTTTAAAAATGTCTGACTTTAATAATTCACATGAAACAATAATAATTATTGATAATAATATTTCTTCTAAAAAATGCATTTAATAGAATGTATATTTACAGATTGGTAAATTTAGTGATTTGCAAAGATAAGCAGTTTGAAATTTAATAAACTTGTGAATTTAATATTGTACAAATTTGTGAATTTAATAATTTGCCAGATGCAAATGTGACTTTAATAATTTTCAATTTAAAAATATATAAATTTAACAATTTGCAAACTTGAGACTTCACAAACAAAATAATTAGCAAAATTAAAAAATATGTAAATTTTATATCTTGCAGTGTTTCAAGACTTCTGAATATTCAGACTTCCAAACTGGAAATCTGTGAACTTAACAATCTCCAAATTTGTGAATTTAATAACTTACAAGATGCAAACGTGACTTCAATAATTTTCAATTTAAAAACATATAAATTTAACAATCTGCAAACTTGAGACTTCACAAACAAAATAAGTAGAAAAATATAAATTATGGAAATTTAATAACTTGCAGTGTTTCAAGACTTCTGAATATTCAGACTCCCAAACTGGAAATCTGTGAATTTATTAATCTTTAAATTTGTGAATTTAATAACTTGCAAGATGGAAATATAACTTTAATAATTTTCCATTTAAAAATATATAAATTTAACAATCTGCAAACTTGAGACTTTACAAACAAAATAATTAGCAAATTAAAAAATATGTAAATTTAATAACTTGCAGTGTTTCAAACCTGGAAACCTGCAGATTCCCAAAGTGTAAAATCCGTGAATTTACTGAAACATCAATATAAATTCAGTCCAAAACAATTGGTCAATGAATTGATGATTACATATCAATTTGCCGAGTGTTAAATTTTTGGCACGCAATAAGTTTCTCCACCCCTGGCGTAGTTCGATAGTCGACGGCGGCGCACAAGAGGGTAGCCCTCTCTGGCGCTGACCGTCGGTTCTCGTATCTGCGCCTTGCATTGCCGCATCGCCACGTCGCAAAAGTGGTTGGGCGTTTCTCTCGCGAAACTCCGGTGGCAAAATGCGCGTGCAAACGTCGTCCTTTGGAAACCCGTCGTTCATGTCCGGAATTAAAATCGTCCGAAAGGTATCTCGCTGCTCGCAATGAGAAAAAAAACTGGTCGACCGTGTCCTCTTCTCTAACGATCTACGATCAAAGACGATTGGAGCGTCTGAGAAAAGGGGGGAAATTAAAGGAGGCGGGGGATCGGCTTTTTCCTCGTCACGTGTTCGTGATCGGTGGGGACACGTGTCTCCGTTACTCATCGGATTACGTTATCCTTTAAATTTACGCAGGAGAACGTATTTGGAACGACAAAGCAATTAGCACAACGCGAGGAAAAACGGGCGGAGTAAATCGCGAAACGGTCGGTAAAGAGCGGTCGCATTTCTAAAATAAGACTCTGGCTTTTTCACGCGCACGGATGCCTCGTTTTCACGAGTTTACGCCGGCTGCGTGCCAACTCGAGAATCGAACGCCAGTCGTGCCGAGTTGTTCGCGGTGATTAAACGCGAGACTCCGCGGATAGAGACATGCACGCCGTGCGGTGCCCCACCGACGCGCAGCCCTGACACGCGACACACTTTCCGCAACCGAGGCGAAACGCGAATCAGATCTCGTTCGTTTATCGTCGACTGTGAAGCTATGAGGCTCGATAGAAGAATCGTCTGCGCGGTAATTTTCAAACGCTTTTACGTTTTATTTTTATTAATCGGACTTTATCGTAGCGCGCCACTCACGCATTCATGGAATGCACGACCTTTGTGGTTTTACGAGTCGCATTCGAAGAAAGTTTGATACTTTGCGACGCTCCATTTAGTGTATCTTATCAATGTTTTGGTATTTTTACCCATGTTTAACTATTTTTAGGTTAATACATACTTATCGAATGTATTTAATGTATCTTGTACTTTAACGCATGATACACGTACAATCTTATATATCAAATTACACTATCCTCTAATTTAATGTACTTTAAATTCTCACATATGTTACATGAACACATTTCATGTATTTAATCTCACATAAATTTGACGTGTATCAAATGTACGCATTTAATGTATCAACATATGTTTACAGTTTATGCTTACAATATGTTTACTTTGAATGTATGTTGCAATTCAAGTTTTGGAATTGTTTAATAAAATGTTTACGAAATTTGCAGCGTGCGCTTCAGGAACAGAGACCACTCAGGACATTCCGTACGGAATTCAATATTTACGAGAGTAGTACCTGCGAGGAACGTTACACATCGACGACCACACACTATACACAGTCGCAGTGAGTAATGGTGTGGATTTAGAAGAATTGACCCTTTCGCAGCGATGACTTTGAAAATACTGATAAATTGTACGGTAGCTCCGACCGTATCGGCGTAACTAGACGGAGATCAGGATAAGCCTGCGACAACGTAATGCCTAGTCATACAACACATGGCGCTATGTGTGCATATATAACTCGTGATACGCGTGGATTTACGTGTCAAGATATTATGCATGGATATACGACGCTGATGTACAGCGCAATTCAAAGTTGATGAGTTTTATTTGTTGTGTTATTTTAAAGTACAATAGTCAAATTTTGATGTAATTTATTGATTATTACTTTTGGAAATGTGATTTTAGATGAAGCTTTGGAAGGTGACCTAAATAAAACGTTACTCAGTTGAAACTATTTGTGACGAGGACGTAATGCAACATCTGGATACTTAACACGTAGTAGTGCAACACATGAATATTTAACGCGTAGGAATACAACGCTTGAATATCTAACGCGTAGTAATGCAGCGTGTGGATATTTAACGCGCTGGAATACAACGCGTGAATATCTAACATGTTGGAATACGACGCTTGGGTATCTGACGCGGAGTAATCCAACGTGTGGATATTTAACACGCAGTAATACAACGTTTGGATATCTAACGAGTAGTAATGCAACACGTGGATATCTGACGCGTAGTAATGCAACGTGTGGATATCTAACGCGTTGGAATACCACGCTTAGATATCTAATGCGTTGGAGTGCAACACTTGGGTATCTAACGCGTAGTAATGCAACTTGTGGATATATAACGCGTAGTAATGCAACGCGTAGTAATGCAACGCGTGGATATCTAATGCGTAGTAATGCAACGCGTGGATATCTAACGCGCTGGAATACCACGCTTAGATATCTAATGCGCTGGAGTGCAACACTTGAGTATTTAACGCGTAGTAATGCAACGCGTGGATATCCAACGCGTGGATATCCAACGCGTAGTAATGCAACGTGTGGATATCTAACGCGTGGTAATGTAAAGTATGGGTATCTAACGCGCAGTAATGCAACGTGTGGATATCTAACGCGCTGGAATACCACGCTTAGATATTTAATGCGCTGGAGTGCAACACTTGGGTATCTAACGCATAGTAATGCAACGCGTGGATATCTAACGCGTAGTAATGCAACGTGTGAATATCTAACGTGTAGTAATGCAACGCTTAGATATCTAACGCGCTGGAATACAACGCTTAGATATCTAACGCGCTGGAATGCACCGCTTAGATATCTAACGCGTAGTAATCCAACGTGTGGATATTTAACTCATGTCCCTACATTAATCGATACAATATTACATTATGATTCAAGGTTGATCCCCCTAACTAAAGTTACCTACCTACCTAGTTACGCCACAGGTCTACCAAAATTGCAACTAAAGAAAGGGTTAATCTTCAAATGAACCTTCCGCCTAAGAGGTCCTAATATATTCCTTATGCCGTAGGTACAGTTTAGAGCGGCGCGAGAGGACAGAACGTACAGAGAGGACAGAGACGGTCGTGTCCAGCGACGCGACACGACGTTCCAGTTCTCAAGAGAGTACCCGTCCCGATGGTAGGAGTACGTCCGTGGATCGGGATGGGGGAACGATCACGACGACGCAGTCCGATCAGGATATCGCGAAAGTATCTCGAAAGCGGCAGCAAGAGGAGGATGAGAAGAAGGATCGTATGGACGAGGCGTCGTGGTCGAGAACGAGTAGCAGTATTAGCGGGAGCAGCGTGCATTTTAGCGAGAGTAGGAGCGTTAAGAGGATAGAGCGGGTGGAAGAGGGTATAGGTACAGAGAACGTGATAGAGGCTAGGGGTATCGTAGATCCACGGACAGGGAACGTGTTGACGGTGGGCGAGGCGATAAGTCTTAGGATCTTGGACGTTAGGAACGGTAGGATAACGTGCTCGAGGGACGGCAGGAAGACCGTCTCGATCGAGGAGGCGGCTCGCGAGAAGATAATCGAGGCGCGTCTCGCGGATCGTCTGCTAGGCCCGTGCGGATTCGACGAGGAGGGACGTCCGGTGTCTCTGCTCGAGGCGATCCAGCGGGAGCTGTTCGACGCGGAGAAACCAGACGGTTCCGGGCACGCAGATAGAGCGAAGGTAACTTACTCTAAAGAGAGTGTCCCCGTCGATGAGGGCGCGGTTAGCGTAGCCGATGCGATAAAGGACGACGACGTAGGCAAGGGTTCCGCGTTGGATCCGCGGACGGGCGAGCTAGTTACGAAAGATGGCGAGAGGCTGTCGGTCGAGGAGGCTCACGCGAGAGGTTACCTGGCGAAACTCGACGTTACCGTGACCGTTAAGAGGAACGCGTTACCGTTATCCGACGCGATATCCCAAGGTCTCGTGGACGAGACCTTAGGTCGGGTGCTTGACAGGATCACGGGAGAGAGTTACGCCCTTGACGAGGCTGTCGAGAAAGGAATACTAGACCCAACCGCGAGGGAGGTCGTGGACGCTAGGAACGATACCAAAGTGACGTTGTTGGATGCCATGAAACTGGGCATCGTTAACCCTAAGACCGGCAAATATATGCACGGTCTCACCATGGAGAAGTTGTCTCTGAAGGAGGCGCGTCGACGACGACTCATAGTGAAACCAATGACCCTGAAGGACTGTCGCGATTCGGAGATCATCGACGAGAGCGGGAAGATCACCAGCCCCGCGCATAGAACCAAATTAACTGTAACGGAAGCGATCGAAAGAGGTGTCCTCGACGCCGATCGATTGAAGTCAATTGTCGACGCGACGACCGGTGAAACGATCACGCTCTCCGAGGCGTTAGATCGTGGCTTGATCAATCCTAAGACGACCACTTACAGAAACGCGAACACCGACGAGGAAATTGCTATTTCGGAAGCCGTTGAGAAGGGTCTGGTTACCTCGCTCGCACAGAAGACAATATTTGATGTGGATGGCTTCAGAGATCCTTTGACCGGAGAGTACGTGAGCTTGAACGCAGCTTTGCTCAAAGGTTTGATCAGTTCCAAATCGGGCGGTAGTTATATTGTCGATCCGAATACCGGAGAAAGAGTTTCGCTGGCCGAGGCTGAAGAACGAGGTTACATTCGACCGGAAGTTGCTGAGATGTTCAACAGAGGTATCGGTATCGTCGAAGAAGGCAAAGAGATCACTCTTCTTGAAGCCGTTTTCTCGGAGCTGATCGATCCGAAGACTGGTCTGTTATTGGATCCGAGGACCAAGAAACCGGTAGCTCTCGAAAATGCAATGAAACGTGGTATAATTACTCCCGACGGAGCTGCGTTGCTCACGGGGTTATTGAACGTCACTGTCACCACGCAGACTACCACAAAGGTAAAAGAAGTTAAACACGAGGAGATTAACAACGGATTTGAACGATCGACTAAAGAACGAGTACATGTCGAAGCGATGGACGTCGAAGAGACTCTTGAACCTTCTCTGAAAGACAACATTCCTAGAGCAATTGGCACTACCACGACTATTATCTCTAAAGATCACGTAGTTACTTCTTCGGAAGCGAAAGCGAGCATTCTCGTTAACGCCAAGGACTCTTCAAAAGCGAAGGATAACGACAATGCTGTTCAGACATCCAGGAGTAATCGATACAAGGATCCAGATCAGGACCAAGACACCAGCATGATCAGTGACCCATCCAGAGAGGACAGCTTATCGATGGAAAAGAGAGTATTCGAACTACCAACCGATGGATGGTCCCTCTCCGAAGCGATCGACCGAAAACTCTTCGATCCAACCACCGGTCTCTTCATCATCCCAGGAACGGACAGGTTGGTTTCATTCGAGGAATGCGTGAAGCTGCGGATCATCGACCCGAACTCCAGCTTCGTGATCGACCCGAACAACGGCAGGAAGGTTTCCCTGCTCCGCAGTTTGGAGAAGAACATCCTAGACTCCACCGGCCATTACACTTACCCACAAAAGATCTCGATGAAGGAGGCGATTGACAGAGGGCTGGTCCTCCTGGAGGGTAAAACACCCGACATCGATCACTCTCAACAGAGGTTACTGCGAATCACCAAGATGTCTGGGGAACCGGACAAATTGGAGGTGATGCGACTCGACGATCCTTCGAAGCAGCTAGACAGCAAGGATTCCGAAAGTTACGGGATACCGGACCCCGTACGAGTCTCGCGAGGTTTGATCTATGATCCAATCACCGCTCTAGTCATTTCCACTGAAACTAAAACGTCGAAGGAATTATTAGCGGCTTTGTCCGACGGTACGTTGCCGATGGATGTGGTGATCGTTACAGACCCTGTGACAGGAAAGGCAATTCAAGGCATACCGGAAGCTATTCAGCGCGGTATCATCGATCCCAACACTTTGGAATACTACGTCAACGAAAATAGGAAGCTATCTTTGATGGACGCTGCGAAATTCGGTGCAGTAACCGTGTTGGGTATTCCTCTGGTTCCAGTTACGTCTTCGACACCTATTTCGGACACAAACATACCTCGTGAAATGAAAGAATCGTCGCCGATCGACCGGGACGAAAGTTCGATAATCGGCAAACCGAACTATGAATCGGATTCTGCCATTGGATCCACATCCGTGATGGATTCTGTGACCGACTTCTCGCCAACGGCGGCGACCAGCGAGGAACCTTCCGTCTCGAAAGAAGGCGACGAAGAGAGGTTCAAACCTTTCGATCCTAAATACGAAGCAATTATCGGAGAGACAGTTGTGTGGCCAAGTTCGGAGGGCGAAACCAAGTCCATCGTTCTTCAGAAGATGAGGAAGCGTGTGGTGAAAGCCAAGGAAGCTCTAGAGAGCGGATTGATAGACGCGGAAACCGCCGAGATCTTTACAAGGAAAATGGCGGTGGAGGACGGTAAACCTGTCACTCTCTCGGAAGCTATTCGCAGCAAGAAGATAGACGCAGATTCTGGGAAGATCGTCGATCCTCAAAGAGGAGATATCCTCAACATCGGTGAGGCAGTCGAACGTGGAGTCTTGGATCCCGTGAGTGCCGATGTTCTGGTGCCTTTGGCTAAAAGTCTGTCCATCCCTGGTTTGTACAAACAAGGTCTGCTCGATCCTCACGAGGGCAAGGTGGTTCATCCAGAGACCGGTGCACATCTGACATTGAAAGAAGCGATTCTTTGCGAGATAGTAGACCCGTTATCAAAGTTGACCTGTTCAGATGGTCGCACAGAAACCCTTCGCAGTGCCATTGAGAGTGACCTCGTTGACCCGGAGAGGTCTTTGATAAAAACTAGTCAAGGTGATAGCGTCAGCCTGGTGAAGGCTGTCGAGAGCAACGTGTTCGCCGACTCGGACAGGGACCAAGAAAGAATACCTCCTGCTGGTATGACCTTCACAGTTGCCTTAGAACGAGGACTCATAGACGCAGCGGGCAAAGAGATACGACATCCGATCACGGAGGAACGTTTGTCCTTGGAAGACGCTATAAAGGGTAACTTCATCATGTCGTTACCTTGTCCAGTGACATCCGATAGCATGGAGGTGACCAAAGCGTTAGAGGCTGGCCTCATTGATAGAGAAAAGGGTGTCTTCGTTCATCCGACGACTGGTACGCCAGTGCGTCTATTGACGGCCATAGAATCTGGTCTGCTGGTGGTCAAACCACCCATAAGCAGCGAATCCGTTACAGTAACTACCACCGGTATCACGGAGACAGTCACCTGCCATCATACAGTTACCACTAAGAGCATTGATATTTTATCAGGTTATGCGCTGGTGGGTCCCAACGAGGTGCGAAACATGGAGACCGGAGACACCATGACGATCGACGAGGCTCGTACGAAAGGAATCGTCAGGGACGAATCTGAAAAGAAGGTAGAATTCACCACGAAGGACATCAAAATGACGTTCGATGATGCTTTACAGAAGGGTCTCCTCGATATGAACGCTGGTACCTACACGAATCCGTCGACAGGATGTGCCATGTCCATTCAGAAGGCTATCGAGAACGGTTTGCTGGAAGATCGAGCGGATCCCACGGCCGAGAAGCAACCCATCGATCAGATTTACGACGAGAAGACGGAGAGGTTCTTAGACCCGGAGACGAAGAAGTCCTACACCCTCAAGGAGGCGGTGGAAGTTGGACTGGTGGATCCTAACACTGTTCTTTATGATCCAAGAACCGCTGAGACTGTGACGACTAAGCAGGCACTTGAGAAGGGAATGATCGATCCTGTTACAGGGAAGACGAAGGACGTTGAAGGAGGAGGAGTTTCCTTGAAGCAAGCTGCGAAGTTGGGATTACTGGCTGTTGTCGCTGCACCCGTTTTGGCTGGAAAAGCGGTGTATGATGCTGTTCGCGATGCTTCTGTTGGCAAAGAGAAAGTGGTAACAAAAGAAGTCACTAAGGTTGCACGTTCTGCAGATACTGCTAAAGTCACTAAAGTAGATATTGTCAAAGACACTCCTCCTAAAGCAGACATTGTCAAAGACACTCATCCTAAAGAAGGCATTGTCAAAGACACCCCTAAAGAGGACGCTGTCAAAGTCACTCCTGAAGAAGACATTGCTACACATCCCAAAGAAGACGGTGTTAAAGTTACTGGTCCTGAAGAGGATATTGCTAAGGTTACACCTCCTAAAGAGGACGCTGTTAAAGTTACTAGTCCAGAAGAAGGCGTTGTTAAAGTTACACATCCTAAAGAAGACGGTGTTAAAGTTACTAGTCCCGAAGAAGACGTTAAAGTCACACATCCCAAAGAAGACGTTGTTAAAGTTACCCATCCTGAAGAAGACACTGCTAAGACCACACATCCTGAAGAGGACATTGTCAAGGTCACTCATACCAAAGAAGAAATTGTTGAGGTCAAATATCCTAAGGAGGACATTGTTGAGGTGACACAAGCTAAGGAAGATGTTGCCAAGGTCGCAAGTCCTGAAAAAGATATTGCGAAGGTCACACATCCTGAAGAAGCCGGTGTTAAAGTTACTGGTCTTGAAGAAGATATTGTTAAGGTCACACGTCCTGAAGAAGAGGTTGTTAAAGCCACTGCTAAAGAAGAAGAGAAGGTAACTGCAGTCGCAGCACCTCAGATACCATCAAAAGATGATCTTACAAAGGAAGTTGTACAAAAAGTAGCAGATAAGGTTCCAACTCCAAAAGATTCGTCGGAGCAAGCTCAAAAGGAAGCCTTGAAATCCGAACTTCCAAAGAAAGAAACACAAGAAAAGAAACCAGAGACATTGAAAACAGAACCTGAACAGCGTTCCAAAGCAGATATACCAGTTGTAAAAGTGGAGGAACCATCAGAGCCTAGTCAAATACAGAAACCGATTGAGACATCCTTGGAGGAACCTGACGAAGAACAAGAGAAAGAGATCGATTTCGAATCCGAAGAAGGCGACAGAAGATTCGTGATCGAAGTGACGCCTGATCTGACGGTACAAGACCTCGTCGTTCGAGACGCGTACGACCCTGAGAAAGAAAGGTTCCTAAACCCAGAAACCGGAGAAGTTATCTCGTTCAACGACTTCGTTCTAGAACTCAGAATTTTTGACCCAGACGAGGTGTTGGTGAAAGACTTGACCTGCAAAACAACGGACAGGTACGTGTCTCTTCGGGACGCGATAGCGAAGCCTCTGGTCGATCGAAATCTGGGGAACATGGTTGACCCTAAGACTGGTAAAAAGATTCCCTTCTTCGAAGCAGTGAAGCTAGGTCTCATCAAGCAAGGACCACCTATGGAACATTTTGAAGCGACGGAGAGCAAAGAAGGTCTAAGTTTACGACAGGCCGTTGAAATTGGCCTACTTGACCCGGCCACCTGCGAAGTACGAGATCCAACCACCAACAAGATGCTGAAACTGAACGAAGCCATCGAAATAGGTTTGATCGACCCAGATTCGATCAGCATACGAGATCCAGTTAACGACGAGGTGTCTCCTCTTCCGGAAGTGTTGGAGTCCGGCGCGAAGGTCGACGTTGAAGACGCTTTCGTGAAAGGGTTGATCGTACCCGAGTCGCGCAAGCCAATTTCTCTGGAAGCTGCCATCAGAAAGGGACTGTACGAAGAGGACACCGGTAAAATCACGGATACGCTGACCAGTCAATCCATAGATGTCGAAGAGAGTGTACGAAGAGGAATAATTGACGCATTCATTAGTGAATGCGAGGACACCAAAGCAGGAACCTTCTTATCCTTGGAAGAGGCGTTAGGCGGTGAGTCAAAGCTCCTGGACCCTAATACGGGTCGTCTTCGGGACACCAAGGCTGGAGAACTGTTACCATTGAACGTCGCCCTCGACAGAGGCATGATACTCACCACGGGTTTCGTACCTTCCCTGATCGACGTGATAGTTCAGGAATATTATTCGCCAAGAACGGGCCTGGTCGCCAACCCCAGGACAGGAGAGGAGACTACCTTGAAGGAAGCGTTGGCCACCGACTACGTCGACGGAGAGACAACGATGGTCAGAGACGACCGGAACGACAGAGTGTTATCCTTGCAAGAAGCTGAAGAGAATCAGCTGATCGACCTAGAGCAGGGAATCCTCCTCTCCCCACACCCTATGACCTTGGACGTCGCTTATGAGAAAGGGTACATCCTCAGCACGGTGAAACCTTGGTCCTTGCAAGAGGCATTGGCCCATCAGACTTACGATCCTGAAAAAGGCACCTTCGACATCGATGGAGTCACTTACACCCTCGAGGAAGCATTGGAGAACGGCTTGATCGCAAAGGACAGTCCTTCTGTGAAGGATCCGAGGAACAGCGAGATCATCTCTCTGGGCGAGGCCATCAAGCAGGGTCTGATCGACCCCAAGACCGCAACAGCCATCGATCCGTCCACCAGTTCACCGTTGTCTTTGACCGACGCTTTCGACCGTGGCTTGATAGTGCCTGCCAAACGCAAGATATCCTTGCCAGAGGCCGTCTTCAAGGGTCTCTACGAGCCGACCACCGGTCGCTTCATCGTTCCAGAGACACGAGAGAAGCTGCCGACCGACCGCGCCATCAAGGTCGGCGTGATCGACCCCAGCACAGCGGTGGTGGTACGTCAGCCACACGGCAAGGCCATCACCTTCACCAAAGCCATCAAGGAGCTGATAGTTGACCCGAAGACTGGCACAGTAACCAACGAGAAGGGCAAACCGGTGGACTTCCGTGAGGCGTTAGAACACGGATTGCTTCTAGAGGCCCGTAGGCCCATGACCTTCAGCGAGGCCATCTCCAAAGGTATTCTCGATAAGAGGACCAACATGTTCCTGGATCCCCAGACAGGTGTCTACCTGACTTTAATCGAGGCCATACGGAAGAACCTGATCGACGCCGACTCAGTGACCGTGAAGGACGGCAGGAGTGGCTTCCGCCACAGAATCTCTATGATGGAGGCCATCAGAACAGGCTACATCGACGGGTCTAAGGGTAAAGTAAACGTGACACCAGAATCCACCATGTCGCTGCAGGAAGCGTACGAAGCTGGCCTCATAGTGGACCACAGAGCCGCTGTTTCTCTTCAACGCGCCATTCACCAGGGTCTCTACGACGAGCAGACTGGAAAGATTACGGATCCTACCACCGGAAGAGCGGTCACCCTGCACGAGGCGATGAGGAATTGTCTGATCAACCCTACACTACCTTGCTACTGGGACAAACGAGCGGACAGGTTGCTGTCCTTGGCTGAAACCTGTCGAGCCACGGTGATAGACAGACGGTCAGGAATGTTCAAAGAACCTGGAGCGAACAGGACCGTGTCCCTGACTCTCGCCTTGCAGCTAGGTCTTATCGTCGACATCGAAACCGCGGAGTTCAACCTCCACCAAGCGATCATGATGAACATCTACGACCCTGCGACCGGGAAATTGACTCACCCGTCGACCAACCAGGTTCTGACCCTAGCGGAAGCCTGCAGATCAGAGCTGATCGATCCTCACGGCTCCATCATCCGGGACGTCAGATCTGACAAGTATCTACCACTTTCCGACGCTGTCTCCTCAGGAGTGATCGATGACATCCGCGGTACTTACAACGCACTGCCGGAACGCGAAGAACCGATCAATCTGCGGGAGGCTGCCAACAAGGGATACATCGTGCCTTCTCAATTCCCGCTCAGCATCGAGGAAGCAGTGAACTGTTACCTCTACCGAGGTCAGACTGGAGTGTTCGTCGACCCCCGCACTAACGAGAGCCACGACTTATCTCGAGCGTTCGATGTGGGCCTCCTAGACCCCGACACCACCGCCCTGAAAGATGTGACCACCGGACAAATAACGTCCCTCTCTGTCGGTATCGAGAACGGTTTGATCGACGTTCCTCAGGGTCGAGTCATCGACTCGAAAACGAAACGGGGTTATCCGATAGATGTGGCCCTCGAACGTGGTCTTCTGGTGACCTTGGAGAAACCTATGACACAGCAGTCGGCGCGAAGGAGTCTTATTCGCAAGGAGGAACCTCGACAGGAGTATACTCTTCAAGAAGCTGTGGATAGTAGTCTTTTAGATGAAAACGCAGCCGTGATCAGAGACCCGAAGAGCGGTCGATTCGTGACGGTCAGCAACGTCCTGGCTGACGGTATGCTGGATCCATCCGTCAAAGCAACCTTCGAGGGTGATGCACCTAAAACGGCCGATGGCAAACTTGTTCCTCGATTCGTGCGTTTCGGAGACGTTGAAGTGTTCTTCATCAAACCTCTGTCCTTCGAGGAGGCTACCGAGAAAGGACACTTGTCCATGGAGAGTGGAAAACTGACGGATCCAAAGACCGGAGAGCCCGTTACGTTGAAAGAGGCGGTTGACCTTGGTATCGTTGACTCCGACTCTGCGTTGATCAAGGACACGAAGAAGAGGAAGCTCGTTAAGTTGTCCGAGGCGTTCAGGAAAGGTCTGATGGACGCCGAGAAAGGAAACGTTTTAGAGACGGAAACGTCCAGATTGTATCCGTTGTCGAAGGCGTTAGAGACCGAACTGTTAATCACACCTAAACGGGGTTTATCGTTCATAGAGGCCTTGATGTTTGGTCTTTACGATGCGACTTCCGGTCGTTTCAATGATCCCTTCCTGGTCGCGTCCGCGTCCGATCGTAAACCGACCACGTTGAAAGAGGCGATCGATTCAGGCTTGATAGATCCGTCCAGCACGGTGATCAAAGAACCCGCCACCGGTAAAATCGTTAGTTTGTTAGAGGCTATTAATACCGAGATAATAGATCCTATAGCGGGCAGGCTTATCGAAGATCCATCGGGAAAGAACGTCGACTTCGCGAAAGCCCTGGAGCAGGGTTATATTCTCACCGCAGAAGCTAGGGTAAGTGGCACTCTTTCTTGCTTCTTCTTCTACTTCGATTTCTTCTCTATACTGTACACTTCGTCGTCCTATACGACGTTTATTCTTCCTTTGAACTCTCCTTTCCTTGCTATTACTACGTTTTTCTTATTTTCTGTTTTTGCTAAACGATCTTTTTGTCTTTTTTGTTCATGTTTTTTTTTTTATTGTTTATTTAACCCTTTCGGTGCTGTGTACAGTTCGAAATATACGGAGTATACAATTTTATTTAAAACGATAGTTAAACAGTTGTATTGTGATACGCGGATATGACGGAATAGTATAAATATTGTACATGTAGAGTATGTTAAATGTTGATATGCGCGTCGGACATGATACGTGTCGGATACGATACGTGCTGGATACGATACGTGTCTGATACGATACGTGCTGGATACGATACGTGTCTGATACGATACGTGCTGGATACGATACGTGTCTGATACGATACGTGCTGGATACGTTACGTGTCGGATACGATACGTGCTGGATACGATACGTGTCGGATACGAATACGTGCTGGATACGATACGTGCCGGATACGATACGTGCTGGATACGATACGTGCTGGATACGTTACGTGTCGGATACGATACGTGCTGGATACGATACGTGTCTGATACGTTACGTGTCTGATACGATACGTGCTGGATACGTTACGTGTCTGATACGGTACGTGCTGGATACGATACGTGCCGGATACGATACGTGCTGGATACGTTACGTGCTGGATACGATACGTGCTGGAGACGATACGTGCTGGATACGATACGTGTCGGATACGATACGTGCTGGTTACGATACGTGTCGGATACGATACGTGCTGGATACGATACGAATATTTTAATAATATACAACAGTAATTTTTTGAACGCCGAAAGGGTTAACGTCTTTATATATTTTTTGTTTTCTACATCTAATTTTTTTCAAATAACCGCTTGCCAAAGGTAATGGATCGTTACGTTATTGTACGCTTCGATGCATCCGGTCGTCTATCGCTCTACGTGTGCGACGATAGCCGACCACGAACCTGCGAATACACGTCCTCGTGTATCCTACTATCGGCGATCTTGCCGATAGCAGCAAACTAGCAACAGAGCAAAACAATAATCGTTTAACCAGAAGCACCGACATCAGAACTTATCATCCTGCATGGAGCCCCGTAATAAGAGCGTGCCACGATACGTATAAAAGAATGTCATCGAGTCAAGAACAGATCGTCTCGTCGCGGATAATCGATAATTAAAAGATCCAACGCAAGAACGACACCCGTTGATAAAGAAAGCGAATGAAGAACGATATCGTTTCGCGTGGGGCGCTCCTCCCTTATTTAATTATCCTGTCTCGTTCACGCTCGCATCATATACCCAACTGCGCACGTCATTCACAACTATTTTTCACGTAACAGGGGGCTAATGTCATACTAAAAACGATAAACAAGAGAGAACGATTACGTTCGTCACGGTAATTGTGTGATTTAATCGATTAACTTGAATGTAATACGTGTCATCGATCTATCTTTCGTGTCGCCTGATCGCATCGGCAAGGCTAATTCGATTCATATAATTAGATTAATAATATATCGTTTAACGTTCGTTGATGGTTATTTGCACGTTGGTTCGTCCACGTTTCAACGCTTTCCTTCGAATCACCTTCCTTTTAATTTTTTTTATTTCTGAAATTAAATTCTTTATGAATCATGACATGGAAAGGCAGAAGCAAAGCGTGAGACGTTACTAAGAAAATTGTATTTAACGTGTATCCTGATAATCAAGCAGTTAATTGGGACAATTAACGACGTCAAGTACAGCGAAGTTCATTGCGTAGCCACGTGTTACGTGTGATCGCATGCATAACCCTTGTGTGGGCAGTCGAGTCATCATGTAATCATTTTTATTTTTAGTAGTCTGTATTTTTCGAATTCATTTTCACTAATATTTTAAATTGCTACGTTTATTACAGTTTCAGTAGATATTAGTGGGTGTCTGATTGTCTGCACAAGGGTTAACACGTTGAATGTTCACTATGGCACATTATGATTGTAATCACAATAGATTCTCGCTTTATTGTCTTCCATAGTAACAGAACGTGTCTACTACGCGTTGCTATAGCAACATAGGGCGTTACTACGCGTCGCTATAGCAACTGGGGCGTTGCTACGCGTTGCTATAGTAACAGTAGGCGTTACTACGCGTCGCTATAGCAACGGGGGCGTTACTCCGCGCCGCTATAGTAACAGTAGGCGTTCCTACGCATCAAAATTTAACATTTACTGTTCAACAAAGAATAAAGATGATAATATAACGAGAATCTACTGTATGCAATTATGTAAATACTTTGCCGGCCGACATCATTAATGACTCTGACGTATAAATAATATTATAAAATTGAAAGTACGTAGAAGTCAAAGTGATGAAGCCCTCAGACTCCCTCACATCATTCAACGTGTTAACGGGTTACCATCGAACGCACACGCCGCCATATCACAGAAACCGTCCCCCATTATACATTACATTATACTCATCGAAGTAACGAAAATTTATTCGATACGATATGATGCTCGTATATACCTTATTCATTTAATTCAGTTCGATTATTATTTACACAGAGGTTTTCCTTTCTTTTTCAGGTATTTATTACGTTCAGTTTTAGCTCGATCCTGTTTCTTTCTAGCACGAGTTTGCGGAAATCTCTGAGCACGTGTAGCATATGTAGCTCGACAAACGTTTATGCCAATATAATATAAATTATTTATATATATATATCCTGTAATCGTAAGCGCGACTTTTTCCTCCGATTTCCCCAGTTTTCATCTCTCTCTCGTTATTTTATCACTCGTCGTCATTTGAACCCGATCGTTTCTTATTTTGCTTGTGGACGCGTCTTACTGACGAGAACGCGGCTTGTGTCCTCGTTCGCTTCGAGACTGCATAGAGAAAACCACGTACAGGACAAATTATGCAGCTCGATTACTCGCTGCAGATCAGTCAGATCTATTTTTCTAAAAAAAGAGACTGTGTTTTGTTTACCCTTTATTTTAATTTTAATTGTTTACTTATAACGTGTTTTACGTTTACGTTCCAAGTGTGTGTATGTGTTTGCATGCGTGAGATACGTTTTTTAAGCTTACCATGTCTCCTGTTTTTTTTATTTAATCTTATCCTTTACAGAGCGACCGCCATTGGTAAGAGGGCGGTTTTATCGTTACATATATCTTGTTAGTAATAGAGCACGTTAGAGTAAGTCATTACGCGCGCACCGCCTGTCGCATTCCATATCAATTTGCATGTTTTCTTTGTTGCAAATCATTGTAGCAAGCGGTCGAAGAGAAGTACAAACTGTGCGACGAAACGTCGTCGAGGTTGCTACAATGGATATCCGAGGTCGAGGACAAGTTAGCCAACCAAGGCAACGTGAAGGAAGACATCGACGAACTTCGAAATCAGATAAACGCCATGAAAGTAAGATCAATTTCATTAACCTGAATCTGGATTCCATAGAAAAGACCTGTATTATATACTAATGTAAAACTATACTTTCAGGAGATCAAGGAGGACTTAGAAGCCCATTCCCGCCCCGTCGCCTCCTGTCTCGATCAAATTCGCCAGGTGGTCCTGACCGGTAGCAACGTGTTGTCCAGCGAAGAAGTGTCCACGCTAGAGAAAAATGGTCGGTCCCTGAAGACCAGGTTCGACAGAGCCACGGATCGTACCGAGCGAATGGTGAAACGCCTAACAGCCGCCAGAGACGATTTGGTCAAATTCAAGTAAGTATACGAAGTACATTCCTCTATTTTCAATCTCTTAATTGATATCCTTTCCACAGGAACGAGTTGTCAACGTTCTCTCATTGGCTGGACAACGCCAGACGCGTCCTGGAAGAGAAGGAGCACTCCTTGACCGATTTGAACAGGTTGAACAGCAGCACTGATGCGACGCGTGACTTCATCAGCGACGTCATTGCACACCAAGCTGACCTTAGATTCATCACTATGGCCGCACAGAAATTCGTCGACGAAAGCAAAGAGTTCTTACACGTTCTAAACGAGTTCCGAACCAGTTTGCCCCAAAGATTGCCTCATAAGGAGCCTGTAGCCAGTCAGGACTCGCCTGTACGCGGCGAAGTGTCTATCGTCACTGCTCAATACAAAGATCTGCTATCGCGAGCGAATATGCTGTCCGATAGATTGTCTGGTGTCGGTGGAAGACAGCGAGACTATCGCGAGTCCTTGGAGAAAGCTAGGAACTGGTTGAAAGAGGTGGAGCCGAAGGTTCATAGAGCAATCTCTGAACCTGTCGCGGCTGAGCCCAAACAGGTTGAGGATCAGTTGAGCAAGGCTAAAGCGTTGAACAATGAGATGCTCGCGAACGAACGGCTGGTGGAGAACGTTAAGGTGACTGTGGAGGCACTTCTGAGGTCACTGGATGGACAGTTAACGCCAAAGGAAGTCGATGAACTGGAGGAACCTGCAAAGGCACTGGAAGACAAGTATAAACAGCTGACCAACGCTATTGGTGAGAAGTGCCAGGAGCTGGACGCTGCTTTGGTTAGGAGCCAGGGAGTGCAGGATGCGCTGGACAGCTTGGTACTTTGGTTGAACAACATTGAGAGCCAATTCAAGTAAGTAACAAATTCTTAAAGCTTAAGATTCAAGTTCTGCGTCATCTCTTTAATGTGAAAATACAATTATATGGAATATAGACTTTCGTTCCATAAGTTAAGCTCTTTATTGTCTTGCAGGAACATTCAGCGACCAGCCAGTTTACAGAAGGAACGTCTGGAAGAGCAGCAGAGGGACCAACGTCTTCTCCAAGCCGATTTGGACAGTCATCGTTTGAGCGTGGAAGCCGTTGCGAGCAGCGCGCATGATCTGCTCACGAACTCCAGCAACGCGCGAATCGCGAAGCGTATAGAGAGCAAACTGAAAGATGTACAATGTAGATTCGAGAAGTTGATGGACAAGTCGTTGCGCCGAGGCGAGTTCCTCGACGAGATCGCGCAAGCCCTCGGCGACTTCTTGGTCGAGACGACGAAGTTCGACAGCTGGTACGCTCACATGATCGAAGCTCTCGAGTCTAGAGACTTGAGCAAACTGGACGTGGCAGAGTACGAGACCAAGATGGCGAATCTGATGGATAAACGCGAGGACCAACGAGCCAGCTTCGAGGACTTGATCCGCAATGGAAAGAACTTGATTTCGAAGAAAGACGTGACCGACGTTGCTCAGATCAGGGACAAGATCACGGCTCTTGAATCTCAATGGAAGGAAGTGAACAACTTGATCGAAGAAAAGCAACGACTCAGCAAATCCAGAGCCAAACAGCTTTCCGCTTACGAAAAGCTTCGCGATCAAGTTATCGATTGGCTGACTCGCACTGAACACAAGGTGCAAGGCCTCGAACCTGTGGCTGTTGATTTGGAGAAGCTGAAGAGACAGGCTGACGAGCTGAAGCCTATTCAGAAAGAGTATCGCGATTATGGCAACACCGTTGATAAAGTGAACGATCTTGGAATCGCGTATGACGGCCTGCTCAAGGAACGTATCGAGAGTCCAACACGTCGTCGTGGTAGCACCAGTCCAACCAAGAGACCAGGTACGGATCGTGGTCGTTTTAACACTTTTAACATAATCTAGTCCAGTGATGGTCACTGATAAATATCTACAGATTCTGTACCCTCCCAGGGAAAATGACCCTAGGTACCTCTCCAAGCTTTGCCTAGAACTTCCACAACTTGAAACTTCCGTGCCCATCGCTGGCTTAACCCAAACCGCTTCATCATTCGTTTAGCATCACATCCTCATCTCATTACAGTCATACCCATTTCATCATAACCAGTAATATACTCACACTTGCGCAACTCATACATTTTTTTTCTCACTTTTTTTTTGTAGTACGACGAATGTCACAAGACGGTCGCTCACCATCTCCCGCTAAATTGTATGCTGCTCAAAGTCCGGTCTCTCCAGGTGGTAGCAGCGGATTCAGCAGCCGACGCTCCAGCCAGGACGGTTTTCACCTGGAGGACTTGTCGCCCGTTCAGCAGCAACTTTCAGAGATCAATAACAGATATGGATTGCTGGGTGTCCGTCTGACCGACCGGCAGACCGAGCTAGACAGTGTCAAGGACGAATTGAGGAGACACATGGACAACTTGAAGACGCTTTCCCAGTTTCTGGAGAAGGTAGTCTATCAGTTGCAAACGAAACTTGAATTTCTATTCGTGGTTGATGATTGATATACATTACTACTTCTCTTTTTTGAATAGATTCAGCGACAGATACCAAAGGAAACCATGCCAGGCACTAAAGAAGAAGCGGATAAGACCGCGAAACAGATTAAGATCGTTATCGAAGAAATGTACGAGAAACAATCGTTGCTTGACACCACCCGAACCCAAGTTCGCGATTTGGTCAGACGCAAGAAGGGAGCAGCCGGTGTAGACAGATTGAACGACGAAATGGAAGATGTGACGAACAGATGGAGATCCTTCAGCGAACGTTGCAAAGACAGAATAAAGTTCCTGGACGATGTCAAGGACTTCTACGATACGTCTGAAGGTTTAGCTTCGTGGCTTGGATCAAAGGAGAGAATGTTGGGTGCTTTGGGTCCGATTTCAGCCGATCCCAGAATGGTTGCCAGCCAAGTGCAACAGGTTCAGGTCCTGAGAGAGGAGTTCCGCACTCAGCAACCTCAGCTGGATCACCTGATACAGGTCGGAGAGAACATCCTCAGCGTGATAGGAACCGATTCACCGGATGGTCAAAGAACGAGTACCAAATTACGATCCATTTTGGACAAATGGTCCGACCAGTTAGCTCGACTCGACGAAAGAGCGCAGAGCTTGGGAGACGCGGTTGATACCAGCCGCGAGTTCGACGCGAGTCTGAACCGTCTGCGCGACGCTCTTCAAGCGATATCCGACAATCTCGATGAACTGACTCTGGAAAAAGATCCCGAAGACCAGCTGCGAAAGATCGAGAATCTTGAGAGACAGCTGGAAGGTCAAAGACCTTTGCTGGCGGACGCTGAGGCAGCGGGTGAACAGCTGTGCGAGGTTCTGAGCGATCCAGCTTCCAAATCCGAGATTCACGGAAAACTGGCTGCAGTTGGAAAGCTGTACACTAACCTGCAGAAGAAATTGGACCACAAGAAAGCTGAGATAGAGGGCAATTTGCGAGATGGAAGACAGTTCGAGGCTTCCTGCACTAAAACTTTGGGCTGGCTCGCGGATGAGCTTGGAAACATGTCCGAGAAGTTGTTGGTATCGGCCGATCGAGACATCTTGCAACAGCAACTTGATCATCATGAGGTAAGCTGATTGATCGATTGAATTAAGTCAATGTTTAAACTAATCTTTGTTTATTCATAGCCGATGTATAGAAACGTGATGGGCAAAGAGCACGAGGTCATCATGCTGCTGAACAAAGGAAGAGACATGTTAGCTCGATCGCAAAAGGTGGAGAACCGGTCTCTGCAACGCGACCTCGACAAGATGCAGTCGCAGTGGGATCGTCTGAAGAAAGACATGATGGACAGGCACACGAAACTACAGACTTGCGCGGAACACTGCAAGAAATACTACAAGGCACAAGACGCGTTCCTGCCATGGTTGCGACAAGCTGAAGACAAACTCGAATGCTTGAAGCCAGCTTCCTTCAAACGCAAGGACATCGAGAAGCAACTGAAAGAACTGTCCTCGTTCAGAAACGAGGTCTGGAAACATTCCGGTGAATTCGAGAACAACAAAACTCTTGGCGAGACTTTCCTAGGAGCTTGCGATATTGACAAACAAAATGTTAAGAACGAGCTTGGCGCTATGAAGACCAGATGGGACAAGTTGAACAATGGTAAGTTTTATTGATTATAGTTTTATGATAATAAGCATTTATTAATCGATGGATGTTTTAGACTTGATCGCAAGAACACAGTCTTTGGAGGACACTGCACGGCATTTGATGGACTTCAATGAGAACCTGCGAGAACTGAGACACAGTTTGCAGCGTTGCGAAGATAAATTGGCATCTCACGATGCTCTTGGAGGAGCAGCTAAAGACCCGAAACTTCTCGATAGGATAAAGGTAAATGAGAAGTTGGAAAATACTATGTTATCTACTGACTTTTCTACGATTTCTGTTCTACACCTTTATGTGCCACATTTCATTCCAGAGTTTACGAGAAGAAACGACAAACCTGAAGAAACCTTTGCAGTATGTCAAACAACAGGCCAGTGACTTGGTGAACAAAGCTCGTGAACAGGGAGTCGATGCAACGCACTTGCAAGACGAAGTAAACAATCTAAGTGACAGAATCAATGATCTGCAAGCGAAGCTGGACGACAGATGCAACGAGTTGCAGAGCGCAGCTACCGCAGTTGCGCAGTTCAACGACCAAGCGAAAACAATTGGGCAACAGGTGTCGAGTCTTGAGAGGGAATTGGACTCGATGAGAGCGCCAGGCAGGGAAATCAAGATCATTAGGGTTCAGATAGAGGAAACGACGAAAGTGATAACCAGAGTGACTCGATTGTACGAGGAAGTGACCGATCTGGAGGGTCTCGGAGAACGTTTGGTCGATTACGGTTTCGCGGCTGATGCTGTGGCAACCAGGGAACAAGTTGCCGGCTTGAAACGACAGGTCGTGAAGCTGGATGATCGCTCGAGAGACCGCCATGAAGAGCTGTCGGCCACTTTGGACAGGTTACAGGAATTCTATCAAGCTCACACGACCGTCATAAGCGAGATCGACGAAGCGAACGAGCATGTCAGAAGATTCAAACCAGTTGGATCAGAAGTGGAATCCATTAAAGTCCAACAAGAAGATTTCCGACTGTTGAAAATTAACAAGATAGAACCTTTGGCTCGCGCCGTTGAGGACTGCAACGTCCTTGGTCAAGCCTTGATTCAGACTGCCGGTCGTGATGTGAACACCAGCAACATTGAAAAAGATGTCGACAAGATGAACGAGAGGTGGAACGATTTGAAGGAAAGACTGAATGAACGAGACAGAAGGTTGGACGTAGGATTGCTTCAGTCTGGAAAGTTCCAGGAAGCTCTGGAAGGTCTTCAGAAGTGGTTGACAGATACGGAAGAGATGGTCTCCAACCAGAAACCACCGTCGTCGGATTACAAGGTAGTCAAAGCACAGTTGCAGGAGCAGAAGTTCTTGAAGAAGATGCTGATGGACCGGCAGAATTCGATGTCGTCCTTGTACAACATGGGTCAGGAGGTAGCTGCTGGTGCAGATCCTAAGGAACGAAAGATGATCGAGAAACAACTGAAAGAGCTTGTGGGAAGATTCGACAATTTGACGGAAAGCGCAGCCGAAAGAATGGAGGCGCTCGAACAGGCAATGGGTGTAGCCAAACAGTTCCAAGACAAGTTGGTACCGTTGGCAATTTGGTTGGACAAGACGGAGAAACGTGTGAGGGACATGGAACTGGTGCCAACCGACGAGGAGAAGATCCAGCAGCGTGTTACAGAACACGACGCTCTTCACGAAGACATTCTGTCCAGGAAACCTGACTTCAGCGAACTCACAGAGATTGCTAGTCAACTGATGGCTCTCGTGGGTGAAGACGAAGCTGCAGCTCTGGCCGACAAATTGCAGGACGCTGCCGACAGATACGCCGCCTTGGTCGAACGATCAGAGGCTCTCGGCAGCCTTCTGCAACGATCGAGGCAAGGTTTGCGTCACCTGGTTCTCAGTTACCAAGAACTTCAGGCTTGGATGGAAGGCATGGAGATCAGACTGTCGAAGTACCGAGTATTGGCAGTTCACACAGAGAAGCTTCTTCAGCAAATGGAAGATCTTGCTGACTTGACCGAAGAGGTATCCACCAGACAGACCGAAGTAGACAGCACCACGGATGCCGGTTTAGAACTGATGAAACACATCTCGAGCGACGAGGCTCTTCAACTGAAGGACAAGCTCGACTCTCTGCAACGACGATTCAATGATTTAGTCAGCCGCGGCTCCGATCTGCTGAAACACGCTCAGGAATCGCTGCCATTGGTCCAACAGTTCCATGACAACCACAATCGCTTGATGGACTGGATGCAAGCGGCCGAGTCCGCCCTGCAATCCGCAGAACCTCGCGAGGATGAGATCGTACGCCTGGAAATGGAGATATCGGAGTACAGACCAGTCCTGGACAAAATCAACGCTGTCGGTCCACAATTGTCTCAGTTGTCGCCGGGTGAAGGCGCTGCCACCATCGAGGGTTTGGTAACCAGAGACAACCGGCGATTCGACGCCATCGCGGAACAGATCCAACGCAAGGCCGAGAGAATACAGCTCAGCAAACAGCGTTCGCTAGAAGTGATCGGCGACATCGACGACCTGCTAGAATGGTTCCGCGAGGTGGACAATCAGCTGAGAGAGGCAGAACCACCCAGCAGCGAACCTGAGATCATCAGAGTACAACTGAAGGAGCACAAAGCTCTGAACGACGACATATCCAGTCAGAAGGGCCGCGTCAGAGACGTCATATCGACGGCGAAGAAGGTGATACGCGAAAACGGCCAGCATGAGGACACGTCAACTATCAGAGAGAAGATGGAGGATCTCCGAGAGACAATGGAAATCGTCTCCGGTCTTTCTGCCGACCGACTTGGAGCACTGGAGCAAGCGTTGCCGTTGGCTGAACATCTGCGGGATACGCACATTGGTCTGGTCAGCTGGCTCGAAGAGGCCGAACAACAAGTTGCCATGCTTCCTATGCCTGCTTTGAGGCCTGACCTCATAGCCGCGCAGCAGGACAAGAACGAGCTGCTAATGCAGAGTATCAACGAGCACAAGCCTCTCGTAGAAAAGTTGACCAAAACCGGTGAAGCTTTGCTGAAGCTTGTTAACGAAGAAGAGGGAATTAAGATACAGGACATCCTCGAAGCCGACACAGCCCGATATGCAGCTCTCAGGGCCGAACTGCGAAGTCGACAGCAGACTCTGGAGCAAGCGTTGCAAGAGTCCTCTCAGTTCTCCGACAAACTGGAGGGAATGTTGCGTGCGCTCTCTTCAACGGCGGATCAGGTGAACGGTGCTGAACCCATCAGCGCTCATCCTGGTCGCCTGAGGGACCAGATGGCTCGACTCTCTGCAACGACGATTCAATGATTTAGTCAGCCGCGGCTCCGATCTGCTGAAACACGCTCAGGAATCGCTGCCATTGGTCCAACAGTTCCATGACAACCACAATCGCTTGATGGACTGGATGCAAGCGGCCGAGTCCGCCCTGCAATCCGCAGAACCTCGCGAGGATGAGATCGTACGCCTGGAAATGGAGATATCGGAGTACAGACCAGTCCTGGACAAAATCAACGCTGTCGGTCCACAATTGTCTCAGTTGTCGCCGGGTGAAGGCGCTGCCACCATCGAGGGTTTGGTAACCAGAGACAACCGGCGATTCGACGCCATCGCGGAACAGATCCAACGCAAGGCCGAGAGAATACAGCTCAGCAAACAGCGTTCGCTAGAAGTGATCGGCGACATCGACGACCTGCTAGAATGGTTCCGCGAGGTGGACAATCAGCTGAGAGAGGCAGAACCACCCAGCAGCGAACCTGAGATCATCAGAGTACAACTGAAGGAGCACAAAGCTCTGAACGACGACATATCCAGTCAGAAGGGCCGCGTCAGAGACGTCATATCGACGGCGAAGAAGGTGATACGCGAAAACGGCCAGCATGAGGACACGTCAACTATCAGAGAGAAGATGGAGGATCTCCGAGAGACAATGGAAATCGTCTCCGGTCTTTCTGCCGACCGACTTGGAGCACTGGAGCAAGCGTTGCCGTTGGCTGAACATCTGCGGGATACGCACATTGGTCTGGTCAGCTGGCTCGAAGAGGCCGAACAACAAGTTGCCATGCTTCCTATGCCTGCTTTGAGGCCTGACCTCATAGCCGCGCAGCAGGACAAGAACGAGCTGCTAATGCAGAGTATCAACGAGCACAAGCCTCTCGTAGAAAAGTTGACCAAAACCGGTGAAGCTTTGCTGAAGCTTGTTAACGAAGAAGAGGGAATTAAGATACAGGACATCCTCGAAGCCGACACAGCCCGATATGCAGCTCTCAGGGCCGAACTGCGAAGTCGACAGCAGACTCTGGAGCAAGCGTTGCAAGAGTCCTCTCAGTTCTCCGACAAACTGGAGGGAATGTTGCGTGCGCTCTCTTCAACGGCGGATCAGGTGAACGGTGCTGAACCCATCAGCGCTCATCCTGGTCGCCTGAGGGACCAGATGGAAGAGAACACCGCATTAGTCGACGAGCTGGCCCAGAGGTCCGAGGCCTACGCGGCCGTGAAGAGAGCAGCCGATGATGTGATCAGCAAGGCTGGAAACAGGGCTGATCCAGCTGTGAAGGACATCAAACGTAAACTGGACAAGTTGAACAAACTATGGAGCGACGTGCAGAGGGCGACCAACGAGCGAGGACACACTCTGGACGATGCTCTGGCGATCGCGGAGAAATTCTGGTCCGAGCTGAATGGCGTGATGTCGACTCTGCGAGAACTGCAAGATGCTCTCGCGGGTCAGGCACCACCTGCAGCACAACCTGCCGCCATCCAACAGCAACAGGTAGCTCTGCAGGAGATCAGACACGAGATCGACCAGACGAAACCCGATGTCGAGCAAGTCCGCGCATCTGGACACGAGCTGATGGGTCTCTGCGGCGAACCGGACAAACCGGAGGTCAGGAAACACATCGAGGACTTGGACCAAGCTTGGGACAACGTGACCGCGTTGTATGCCAGGCGCGAGGAGAACCTTATAGACGCCATGGAGAAGGCCATGGAGTTCCATGAGACTTTACAGAATCTCCTGGAGTTCCTCCAGGAAGCCGAGGACAAGTTCGCTCGCATGGGACCACTGGGAAGCGACATCGACGAAGTTAAGAAACAGATCAAACAATTGGCCAATTTCAAGGCCGAAGTAGATCCTCACATGGTCAAGGTCGAAGCTCTGAACAGGTAACCAAACTCGCTTCTCTTCTCCCTCCCCGTTGAATTTTCTTGAATCATACACCGATCAAGTCCAGGAGTGTTCAATCGCGTTTCACTTGTACTTCTCCTTGTCGCGCGATTCCCCCCGTTTTGTTACGAATAACAAAAAGCCCCTGATGAAGGTAACCAGCGAGATTCTAATCCCAACTTTTGTTTTTTCCGCGCCGGTTCCTGCGAACGCATTAGGAGTCTGACAAGGCAAGTCAACCCTCTCTCTGTGTTGTTGCTGTAGTTAGAGCATGGCTTACTCTTTTATATCGTTCCCCGTTCGGTACATGCAATAGATCCCGAGTGGTCCTTTTATAATCAATAATGTCCGTAACAAACGTCGTAATACCCTCAGTTGTCGGTCGAATAATCGAACATCCCTAACTTCCAACGTTGGTTGAAGTTCCGACAGCCGTTTGATGGTCGAACGTACTACTGTATTTACCTGCCTGTCTGCCTGCCTGGATCGTGACGTGCCTGTTTTACTTACATACATGATCTTGGTCATGGACTCGACGAGTTACAGCGTTTTACCTTTAGGATTAGGGAGCAACTCTTTGGGACTGTTTGGAGCGGTGTTCATTGCTGAAGAGCTCAATTTACTGCCCATGAGCTATACAATATTTACGGTACTATATAAAAAGAATTGCTTCCTATGGTTTGTTGTATCTCCTCTCCCGTAGATTCGTCGATCCAGTATTTTTACTAAACGTGCGAGTTTAAACAACGGTCTCGGTTATTACAAAACATCCCCATGGTGTACGCTTGCTCACATCGACGCGTACAGTTCGCGTTCAGTCTACCACGAAACTATTTTAACACAACTCGATGGTATTTCAGGCAAGCGGCAGAATTAACGGAGAGGACATCATCGGAGCAAGCGGCAGCCATCAAGGAACCACTGGGAGCCGTGAACAAGCGATGGGACGGTCTGCTCAGAGGACTCGTCGAGAGACAACGTCTTCTGGAGAACGCTTTGTTACGATTAGGACAGTTCCAGCATGCACTTGACGAACTTTTGGTATGGATCGAGAAGACGGACGACACTCTGGACAACCTGAAGGCGGTGGCTGGAGATCCACAGGTGATCGAAGTGGAGCTAGCCAAGTTGAAGGTGTTGGTGAACGACATCCAAGCGCATCAGACGAGTGTCGACACGTTGAACGATGCCGGAAGACAGTTGATCGAGGACGGAAAGGGAACGGCGGAAGCCTCGACCACGGCCGAGAAATTGGGAACCTTGAATCGCCGTTGGCGAGACCTACTGCAACGCGCTGCGGATCGTCAACGAGAACTGGAAGATGCCCTCAGAGAGGCGCAGTCGTTCACCGCAGAGATTCAGGATCTGCTCTCCTGGTTAGGTGACGTGGACAACACGATAGTGGCCTCGAAACCGGTGGGTGGTTTACCAGAAACCGCTTCGGAACAGCTGGAACGTTTCATGGAAGTTTACAACGAGCTGGAGCAGAATCGTCCGAAAGTCGAGACTGTTCTCCAGCAAGGTCAGGAGTACCTGAAACGCGCGGATACTAGCAGCGCCGGTGGTCTGAACCACAATCTGAAGACCCTGAAACAACGATGGGACAACGTGACCGCTCGCGCCAGCGACAAGAAGATCAAGCTGGAGATCGCGTTGAAGGAGGCTACGGAGTTCCACGACGCGCTCCAGGCGTTCGTCGACTGGCTCACTAACGCTGAGAAGATTTTGACCAACTTGAAACCGGTGTCGAGGGTGATGGAGACCATTCTTGGTCAGATCGAGGAACACAAGGCCTTCCAGAAGGACGTCGGCGTTCATCGCGAGACCATGCTGAATCTGGACAAGAAGGGTACCCATCTGAAATACTTCTCCCAGAAACAGGACGTGATCCTGATCAAGAACTTGCTGATAAGCGTGCAGCACAGATGGGAGAGGGTAGTTTCCAAGTCCGCGGAAAGAACGAGGGCTTTGGATCACGGATACAAGGAAGCACGAGAGTTCCACGATGCTTGGTCCAACCTGATGAACTGGCTGGATGAGACGGAGAAGACCTTGGACGAAGTTGCTACAGACGGCGGCCTTGGTGGTAACGACCCTGAGAAGATCAAAGCTCGACTGAACAAGCACCGCGAGCTACAGAAGGCCCTCAGTGCCAAACAGGGTACCTATGACGTCACCATGAAGAACGGTAAGCTGCTGAAGGACAAGGCGCCCAAGAGCGACGAGTCCGCTCTGAAGGAACTGCTGAACGAGCTGAAGAACAAGTGGACCACCGTATGTGGCAAGTGCGTGGACAGACAGAGGAAGTTAGAAGAAGCTCTGCTCTTCTCGGGTCAATTCAAGGACGCCATTCAAGCGCTCCTGGAATGGCTCAGCAAGTCACAGAAGCAACTCACGGAAACTGGACCGCTTCACGGCGATCTGGACACCGTGATGAACCTAGTAGAACAGCACAAGACCTTCGAGAAGGACCTGAAATCTCGCGAGTCACAAATGAAGTCCGTAATCCAAACTGGTTGGGAGATACTCAGAAAAGCTCCGGAAGACGCGTCTGCCATTGAATCTCAAATATCTGAAATGCACGACCTTTGGAACACGGTTACAAAATTATCTCTGGCGAAGACCAGCCGACTCGAGGAAGCTCTGAGAGAAGCTGAACGCTTGCATAAGGCTGTTCACGTGCTGCTAGAGTGGTTGAGCGACGCCGAGATGAAACTGAGGTTCGCTGGACAGCTACCGGAGGACGAACAAGAGAGCAGGAACCAGCTGATGGAGCATGAGAGGTTCTTGCGTGAACTGCGTATCAAGGAGGTTGAAAAGGACCAAACACTGGAACTGGCTCATACGATTCTTGGTAAGGCTCATCCAGATGGTGCCGCGGTTATCAAACATTGGATTACCATCATACAGTCGAGATGGGAGGAGGTGGCCACTTGGGCTCATCAGAGGAACCAGAGATTGGAGAACCACATGCAAGGTCTTCAGGTACTTTATCCAGTACACTTTATTGAGGTCTTAACTAAATTTTATTTGACCAAATTGGAACAGATTTTTATACGTATTTATTTTTCAGGATCTTGATAACCTTCTCGAAGAGCTGTTGTCGTGGCTCGAAGGTTTGGAGAACACCCTGAACGCCCTCGAGGCTGAACCCCTGCCAGACGACAAAGCTACCCTGGAAATGTTGATAGCCGATCACAGAGAGTTCATGGAGAACACTAGTCGAAGACAGAACGAGGTCGATCGCGTCTGCAAAGCTAGACAAGTGAAACCGGTGAAAGACACGAAGAAGATATTGAAGGCTAAGTCACCAGCGCCGACGTACGTTTACATTCCGCACCTATCTTATTTTTACTCCTAGTCCCAAGTTTTAGCGAGTTCTCGAGATCGTCAAGGCTCCAATATCATCGAGGTAGACGAAGTCCTCACTAAACTTTGCCATTTCGATCTTAATTCGAACGTATTCTCTTTTCTAATGTTTGTTTTCGTTTGCGTGCGCTTCTTTGGAAAGTTACACTTGCCCGTGCATGTGTTTGATTCTTCTGTCGTATTTTTAAAAAAATTTTTTTGTGTGATCGATCAACGAGGACGACTGGACAGAAAGGTGCGTTGTCGAGATTTAAACGATGCTTCGAGTCGGTTTCTTTCAAGTAGCAGCATGGTATGTGATTGCGTATCTCGGAACTAAGAGAATACACTTGCGGCGTATTTGAGGACATCGTACAAGTATTTATAAGGAATAGGCCTGCGTGTGAATTATAGTAGAATGGTAGTATTGATAGTTGATTGTATAGACTATTCAGATTCGTAACTCTATAAGCGTCGGTTGATAATAACGTTAAGCGTATTTCGCGTGGCCTATTCTCTCTCCTGCTGTCTCGTTTTGCTTGAAAGGAAATCGATCGCTGATTTGGGACTGAGCGATCGGTGCACGATAAGCGAGTTTTCTCGCGGATACTTTTTGGTAGAAGTGTCGAGTGATGTGACGCATGTTCCTGTTTAGCCGAGGCAGCCCAGGCCGCGACAGAACAGCAGATTCGTTGCCGCACATCGGCCCAAGGTTCCCACCTAAAGGAAGGTTCGTCACACCCAGCTTTACTTTTCGATTTTTATTTTCTACTCGCCAATGAGTTGCTTTTAACCCCCATAACACTTTCCACTCACACACTGCAGTTTGACGACAATTATTCGTTCAATTATATTTCGTTCTCTCTTTTCTCTCTTATCTTCAGGTGTCGAGCTGTTTAGATCCTTGCACAGGTTGTTCGGTGATCTTTTTATTTATTCATCATTCATTTGCACCCTCTGCTTCTCACGCTTCGTTTACGCAAGTTTTGAACGCGAAGGAGGTATAGAGATATCTGACGATGTATTTTGTATATAGCAAAGGAGCCGAACCCGAGTTCCGCAGTCCGAGAGTGAAACTCCTGTGGGACAGGTGGAGACATGTGTGGATGCTGGCTTGGGAACGTCAACGACGACTTCAGGACAAGTATAACTACATTCAGGAGTTGGATCGCGTTGCTAACTTCAGCTGGGAGGATTGGCGCAAGAGGGTCAGTGTTTCTCTTCACTACTTCTATTCACTGCTGTTCTGTATAATAAACCTAACATCTGGTCTGGTTGTAGTTCTTGAAATTCATGAATCACAAGAAGTCCAGACTGACCGATCTCTTCAGGAAGATGGACAAAAACAATGATGGCCTCATTCCTCGTGAAGACTTCATTCAAGGAATCATGAATACCAGTAAGCCTTTTCAAAAATTGCTTCTTATGAGACTAAGCTTTGAGACTACTTCATAGCAATTAATAGTTCAGTTGAGACTAAAGCAAATACGTGTTTGCAGAATTTGAGACGTCCAGATTAGAAATGGGAGCAGTAGCAGATCTGTTCGACCGTCACGGCGAAGGATTGATAGACTGGAAGGAGTTCATTGCTGCTTTGAGACCGGACTGGGAAGAACGAAGGACATACAATGACACGGATAAGATTCACGACGAAGTGAAACGCTTGGTGATGCTTTGTACTTGTCGTCAGAAGTTCCGCGTCTTCCAAGTTGGCGAGGGAAAATACAGGGTATCTCATGATTTTCTGAAGGGTGGTGAGGACTGTGTGGTAGGGTGTCACATGTGATGTCGTCCATTTTGATGTGTTTGATCACGTGTTATACATGTTGAATTATGACATGGTTAGGTTAGGTCTCTATGTTACTCTACGCGTTACTTAATATTTCTGTCTGTTGTACCATGAGTCGCACAGTGATTTGAAGAATCTTTGGTTACTGCAGACCCAACCGTAGTCATACATAAAAAATTCACAGCGTGTAATCACCTTAGCACACAGTGATCATGTTAAAGATCTGACAAATATTGTATGTACTAAATTTTAATTCTTTCCTTGACAGTTCGGAGACAGTCAAAAGTTGCGACTGGTACGAATCCTACGATCCACAGTGATGGTTCGTGTCGGTGGTGGATGGGTAGCCTTAGACGAATTTCTATTAAAGAATGATCCTTGCCGCGGTGAGTATTTCCTCCATCTGATCAATCATTTCTTCTATCTCTTTACAACGTTACCGTCGAATTATACCGTCGGAATCGATGAATTCGGGATTAGTAATTTTAGAATTCCCAAAAAAACAAATCTTCCCCGAAACATCCTCCAATTCCATATATTACACCGGTTAATAAAATGTCCCTAAAACCTTTCTCCTCATCCAAAGAGGCAGCTATTCGCGTTTATGTTTATTTACCGACTAGTCACGCGTGTGAGATTGAATTTGTACCGTTTTCTTTTAATACGTTCACTAACACATCGTACGCTTTTTATTTTGAGTTTGAAGTTTGAAGTTTGAGTTTGTTAAACGGACCCGATTGCTTTCCGCTGCCTCGGGAAATAAATGTTGCGGTTGTTCACTGACGAATTCATTCATCATCCCGTGAATATTTTCCCGTACTAAAAATTCATTCGGAATTCTATCGCTAACGTGAAATCCTCGAATATCATGCTCTTCGTGTGTCTCATATTTTCGTTGGTGTCATTCGTACGTGTACGATCTCAGCTCCTGAGGTACAAACAAGTGACTAATCATTAACCGACTCTGCGATGAGTATTTTTTTTTTTAACACCGTTTTAAGAACGATTAAGCGTGCGCCCCGTAAAATTCACCTTGCGTATTAGTTAGGTTTCGTTTTTGCGCTTGATCATTAACCAACGAACGAATCTTTGTTCCACGAATTGTTAGGTTCTCCTTCGTTTTCTTATCACTTTTTCGCAAATTAGCCTTTGTGTTTGATTATGTTTGCGATTGATAGCATTCGTGGAATGGAATTCGATCGATTATCATTAGCGAACATAGAGTATTTTTGAGACTTTTGGAGATCCTTGTCGCTTGTCATTAGTTAATTAACATCCATCGAATCATCCTCTCCTTCATTCCATTTATTAAAATTATTCGTGTACATTCTCGTTCCAAAAATATTATACACTTATTTCATTTTAATTATACATTTATTCAAATTGTACACCTTATTAATTATACATACAGAGTTACAATTTATATTTGTATTAAAACTACATGAGTCACCTACAGACAAAATGGCTGCCATGATCGAAAAATACAGAAAGAACATTTCAAATAATTTTCTCTCACAAATAAAATTTTATATATATTTACAAACATGTACACATAATTAAATATTTATATAGTTAAATTATTTACGTAAAAATGAAAAAGGTGTATAAGTATGATTTTGAACGAAAATGTACGAACCATCTTGTTTCATCGAAACATCTCATTTTTATAATGCACAACTTTAATCGACGTACCTCTCCGTACATATCACGTGTACATCTTAATAAGCCTCGAGTTTATTGCATGTTTTCGTCTATTTTAACAAAATTAAAAATATTAAAAAACGGACCGACTGAACTCCTCAAATCGTAATTAACCCGTCAAGTTTTTCTAATGCCGATACCGGACCCTAACAAACCGGAACAACATGAGGGTTGGTGTCCGCTCGGTGAGAATCTTTTTATATGGGAATAATTGCATATTCGTGGCCCATACGTTTTCCAATTTTTTTATACTCTACATTAGAACAACCAAATTATCAAAATAATAAATTACAGATTTTTTATTTAAACCTAGGTTCAAACATTATATTTATGTACTTCATACTTTTATAAAACCATAGATTTTGTTTAATGCAGTAAATAATTCTACTTAAACAATTCTAAATTATTATTTACATATTTTTCAGTGTACGTTCAATAACAGTTGTTCTATTGTTATCTGTAAATCGTACTGGCCATGAACTCCACGTGTTCGTATATCCTGCATGACTGATACGTATCTGTCCATGTACAATGCAACGTGGGTTTCCTTGGACAAAATGGCGACGTAGGGCAAGGAGACATTACTAATTCAATGTTATACATCTAGCTGTACATACAGTAAACATGAGAGTTAAATTACAAAAAGAGAAGGTCATTGTCAAGTTTAGTTAAATTGCCTCCAGTTGAGTTGTGACAATTTGGGGTGCGTTAAGTTGAGATAAGTAGAGTTGCGTCGCGTGAAATTGGGGTGCGTCGAGATAGGGTATGATGACTAGGATCGTTTGAAATTGGGGTGCGTGGCGTTGGGGTATGACGAGTTGGATCGTTTGAAATTGGGGTGCGTGGAGTTGGGACGCGTAGAGTTGGGGGTGTGTAGAGATATGGGGTGCGTGGAGTTTGATCACGTCGAGTTTCGGTGCGTGGAATTGGAATTTTCGGAATTGGATCGCGTCGAGTTGAGAATGCGTGGAATTGGGATGCGTTGAGTTGGGGGTGCGTGAAGTTGGATCGCATTGGGTTGGGGGTGCGTGGAGTTGGGACGCGTAGAGATGGGGTGCGTGAAGTTGGATCATATCGAATTTCGGCGCATGGAGTTGGAATTTTTGGAATTGGATCGCGTCGAGTTGGGGGTGCTTGGAGTTAGAACGCGTAGAGTTAGGGTGCGTGGAGTTTTGGATCACGTCGAATTCCTGCGCGTGGAATTTGAATTTTTGGAATTGGATCGCGTGGAGTTGGGGGTGCGTGGAGTTGGGACGCGTGGAGTTGGGACGCGTAGAGATGGGGTGCGTGGAGTTTTGGATCACGTCGAACTCCGGCGCGTGGAAGATGCGTTGAGTTGGGGGTGCGTGAAGTTGGATCGCATTGGGTTGGGGGTGCGTGGAGTTGGAACGCGTAGAGTTAGGGTGCGTGGAGTTTTGGATCACGTCGAATTCCGGCGCGTGGAATTGGAATTTTTGGAATTGGATCGCGTTGAGTTGGGGGTGCGTGGAGTTGGGACGCGTAGAGTTGGGGTGCGTGGAGTTTTGGATCACGTCGAATTCCTGCGCGTGGAATTTGAATTTTTGGAATTGGATCGCGTGGAGTTGGGGGTGCGTGGAGTTAGGACGCGTAGAGTTGGAGTGAGTGGAATTCGATCGCGTCAAATTCCAGTGCGTGAAATTGGAATTTTTGGAATTGGATCGCGTCGACTTGGGGGTGTGTGGAATTGAATCGCGTCAAGTTGGGGTGAGTGGAATTCGATCGCGTCAAATTCCAGCGCGTGGAATTGGAATTTTTGGAATTGAATCGCGTCGACTTGGGGGTGCATGGAGTTAGGATGCATAGAAATTGAATCACGTCAAATTTAATCGCATGCAATTAGAATTTTTCGACTTGAATCGCGTCGAGTTGGGGGTGCGTGGAATCAGATTATGTAGAATTCGAATGCATCGACTTCCATCGCGCGAATATTAGGGTGCGTCAAATTTCATCGCGTAAAATCGAATCACAGTAAATTAACTCACATCAAATAGAATCACATTGTACTCGCATGAAGTTGTAGTGCATCGAATCCGATCCCCTCGAACTAAATCTCAATCGCGCCAAATTGGATCACTTCAAATTAAATCGCAACTTAAATCGCCCCAAGTCAGAACTTATTTATCACTCATTCTTAAACTCTCAATCAACTTCAAAGTAACTGATCTAACTTCCCTTACTATGCTTGCCCTAAGAAGCCTCCCCTAAATATTTCCTAGGATTTGTATCAGGTTTTATTCCACTCTCCCTCCCCTACACCTCTTTTTAACCAAAAGAAACCTACGTTGCTCCCAATTGTACATACTTTCTACATCTACTATATTTGCTTTCTGGAAACAAATTCGTTTCTCAATGTGTATTTAGTTTGATACGCGTGTTTGAAACCTCTTTGTATGTGTGTATGGCATGCAAGGTGTTCCTGATTTCGGGTTACTCTAACAAAGAACGTGTACCGTGATCGCGTAACCTTATCACGTGTTATCATCATCGTTTTTATCCTCTTTTTATTATTCCACTTCGTATATAACTTGGAGGAGCGATATTTATTTTGTTCGACGACGTTGCTGTCGATGGTCAACCCTTCTTACAATCTATCACTATTGGTGGCATTAATTAAATTAATTTATTAATTAAATTTGTTAAACACAAGGTTGACTGTCGAGTGCAACGCTGTTGGACTTGTTTTGCATGTCATTCTCGTCTCATTTTTATTCTGTACAAGATAGCGCAATTAACCCTTTTGTTAAATGATAGAACATCGTTATACAATTTTTGTATAAGAAAATTGTATAAAATTATATAAAATTTTTTGTACAGAAAAATTGTGTAAAATTATATAAAATTTGTTGTGCAAAAAAGTTGCATAAAATTATATAAAATTTTTTGTGCAAAAAAATTGTATAAAATTATATAAAATTTTTTGTACAGAAAAATTGCATAAAATTATATAAATTTTCTTGTACAAAAAAATTGCATAAAATTATATAAAATTCGTATACAAAAAAGTTGTATAAAATTGTTTAAAATTTTTTGTAAAAAATTGTTCCGTAGGCAATATATGAGAATATATGATAATGCAATATAGTTACGTTACAATATAATTTTGTATGACACGAGTGTAATATAACGAAAGGGTTAAATCCATACTTAGATACATGTATAATCACGATCATCTTTTCTGCCATAAAACAAGAACCCAGTTACTGGATCATCGCAACGATAATAATATAAATATATATTCATCCCCTCTATTATCGGACATTCTATAATACACTGTATTTTTGTTCTTTTTTTCCCACTATACACTCACACACGAACATACCGCGTGCGCCGCTATCATCACTCCAATAATTACTATATCGCTACTATCGCTAATTACTATTATCTCCGCCAATCGCTGCTACCTCTATATTTCTCTCTTATCTTTTCTGCTCCTTCTTCTCTGCATACGTACATAAATAATTGACCGAATTGACCCCATGTTCCGCTGTTGATAACGCGCATGATTATTCGATAACGCTACTGTAAAATTATATACCCCTGTTGCTTTACTGTTTCTTCTTTTCTGATCTCTATTGACCTACGCTCTTTTTCTCTCTTTCTGTATAAAACAATGTAACTTGGCCCTCCCTTTTTATACACCTGGCATACATGTCCTGTAACGGCTTCCTTCTAACTTGCGTGCACGCAACACACTCTGTAGCCAAGGGAAGAACGAATATCGAGCTGCGAGAGCAATTCATTTTGGCGGACGGTGTCAGCCAGACAATGACGGCCTTCAGATCGAAGCCGAGTCCAACCTCGACGCTGCAACGTACCAATATCTCGTCGGCGAATGCCGGACCCATCACCAAGGTAACGTGTGTGTCACATTATAGGATTCCGTCGGTGGATCCTGAAGGGACATCTGCGAACTCTGGCAATCGAACGATTCTCAGATTTCGGGGATCCATCGGGGATTTAGCTCTTCGTTCATGTGATCAAGCAGGAGATGCACGGGGCTTTTGCAGTTTGAGGGGTTGTGTTTGGGTTGGTTTCTGTTCGGTTGGTTCCGAGGATTTGAGTGTGGAGTTAGGGGGTGAGGTGTGAGGGCTTTGGTTGATCTGGAAGATTTATGTGGAGGTCTTATACTTTGGTACAATCTGTGTTTTGACGAAAAGAATGTCAAAGTTTTAAGAGTTGCAATTTTGGAATTCGTGAATTTTTAATTTTTTAAAATAGTACAATTTTAAGTTTCCAAATTTACATATTGTTGAGGCAGTAAGTTTTTAGTTACCACATTTTTGAAATTCAATATTACAAATTCTTGAGAGGGAAAATTCTTCAATTTCCAAGATTTCTGTTTTCCAAAATTTTCCAAATTTCTGAGTCCTGAAATTTATGATTTTTCAAATTTCCAAAATTTCAAGTATTTGAGTCAATAATTCCCAAATCTCCAAGTCTCCACATCCCTAAAACTCTAAATCCATAAATCTCTAAATCCCTAGATCTCCAAATTCCTAAATCCCTATGTCCCTAAATTTCTAGATTCCTAAATCTTCAAATCCCTAGATCTCCAAATCTCTAAATCTCTAAATTTCCAAATCCCTAAACCTCCAAATCCCTAGACCTTCAAGTCCCTAAATCACTAAATCCCTAAATCTCCAAATTCCTATATCTCTAAATCCCTAAAACCCCAAGTCCCCAAATTCCCAAATCCCTAAATCCCAAAATCCCTAAATCCCTGCATCACCAAATCCCTAGATCCCCAAATCCCTAGATCTCCGAATCCCTAGATCCCCAAATTCCTATATCTCCAAATCCCTAAAACCCCAAATCCCCAAATCCCCAAATTCCCAAATCCCTAAATCCCCAAATCCCCAAATCCTTAGATCCCCAAATCCCTAGTTTCCCAAATCCCTAAAACCCCAAATCCCCACATCCCCAAATCCCTAAATCCCTAGATCCCCAAATCTCCAAATCCCTAAATCCCCAAATCTCTAAATTCTCAATTCCCAAAACTCCAAATCCTCAATACCCTAAATTCCCAAATTTGCAAAATTCCAAATAGCAAAATTTTCACATTTCTAGATATATTTATATCTGTAAATTCTTCAATGACCATACTGCCACGTGGACGTAACTCCTGCTTGGTTAGATCAACGGGGACTATTACATGGGCTACGCTAAAAGTTTTGAGAATCCATAAACGAAGTCAATTAATACCTTGCACTCGTTACTATTAAACCATAAATATTAAAAAATATTTGGAAGAAATCTTATACAAAATTATGAAATCCATCTTCTCCATTTTATAGAATCTTCCTTTCGAATAAAATTCAAAGTCCCTTAAGATATACATCATAATTTAAAACTATCTCGAATTGAAATTGTGTCTTGTCCAAGATTCTCAAAACTTTCAGAGCGAGCCACAAATATTCGTAAACTCATTTCTCGTGCAAACTCTGGATCGCTGGATCGTTCGTTGATCCGTTCAGCCGCCCGAAACTCGATCGATGCTCCATGGGGATTATTATGGGAGTTTTCATGCGTAGATCTACCCTACCTCTCGACTCATTTCGAAACCTATCCCCTTTTCTTTCTCTCTGCTCTTTGGGTCAAAAGCCGCACCAACTCGCTACACGGTAAGTACCAAACCACAGACGTACCAAGGAAAAAAGAAACGAATCAAAATTGGTATCTAGACTTGTTATAATCCTCGCATGCGAGCATGACAGCTTTAGAGGTAGCATTCGTCGCACCTACAGCTACCCATTTGACCTTGACGCACCTCGAGGTAGTCGCTTCAGACCTTCCCGGTTCTCCTCTCATTCCATCGGATTTTCAGCCTTCGATGTCCTTGAAAAGTCCTGGACCCTAGCCACGCTGATATGCGTCTTCGAATCGGGATCAACGTGTCGTGAATCCTTGGCGCTTCTTCGCCGAGGGAATAGAGTACCTCACCTCAGGAGATGCGATTTCACGAGACTATTTTATAGTTATTTTTTTTTTCTCTCTTTTTTTTCCTGTCTCTGTGAATTTACACGTAGCGCGACGTCTCCACGGCACCTGGTCGTCCGAACGATCAAGCGAACGCGGAAGCTTTCAACAAGATGGCCGCTCGGAGCGGACGTTCAAGATGGCCGCCCAAGATGGACGTCCAAGCGTTTCACGATTATTAAACTGTTATACGAACTTTTTGGAAGCTTCAGCGTTCGATTGGTTCAGGACGAACGAGAGAAAAGGGTGTTCAACAAGACACAATCGGTATATTCCTAAACTTTTCGTTTATGGTGTAGCGGAGGAGTTTATGAACCAGCTGACGCCGATTTTTGAGAGTTTGAGGCAAAAGGAGGATCTCCCGTGCTCGTATCCCCTCCACATGCACGCCCCCTCTTATCATTGGGTAAATAAGAACTCTACTGTCTAATTTCTGCTGTCGTTGGTGTGTGACACACGGTGTACCCGGAAATAATTCATCTTTTGGTTTTTTTTTTATTTTGGTTTTCTGTTTGTGAATTTTTGAGTGATGTCTCCCTCGAATGCGTTCCCGTGTTCCACGGTGTCGTATGGCCACCGGTGGCGAACACGATACATGGTTGCTCATCTCAACGCCCGACATGCCGCGATCGTCCGATCTCATTTTGTCATTTTTATTTGCTGATATGTCATTACTCTTGGCATCCACGCAGACCGTATCGATTCTCGTGACGATATGCGCCAGTAACGTTCGCTTGTTGCAGATACACTGTGCAGCATATCAGGAACCATTTGTATGAAATTTTGGTATGCAACTTTGATGCATTTATACTGATATGTGACATTTTACATGCATATATGAAAGTAGTTAATTTTTTATACATCCATAAAATGTCACTGTATATCAGTACGAATGGCTTCAATCATGATATGCAACTTTGACAAATCCACACTCATGCGACATTGATATGTAAGTACAAAACCATTTCTGTAAATACCTAGTCACGTTGCATATCACAGTAAAATTTGTATATCAAAATCCTGTACAAAGAAACGCAGAAGACATATCACCGTGGCATATCGTTTACATAATAGATAAATCAGTATTGTCCATGTTCGATATGCAACAGTGATATGATAACTGTATCAGCAACAAGTGTAACCTATATTAATTTCTCAAAACGGCGTAGTTTGGACGATATGCATGTGGTAGAACTGGTAGATAAGCTTGAAAAAAACGTCCAGACATCTCTTCATGATTTAGTTTTCTACCTTGGTAATCAAACAAAGCGCATGTCTCGCGGGTTTCCATTTTCAACGCATTCCGAGATCACAGTATTTAGTTCACGGGAAATTTTCTTTTCATTTCGAAGTTTCTTAGTCTGAGTTTTGAACTGGATGCCTCTGAACGAACTCCCTTCCCAAGTAGAATCACCAGGGACTCTTCTACTTCGTTTCGAATCCGAACGATCGGCACCCTTGACTTTTAACGGAGATCTATAGATTTGGTTTATGAGGGTTTTTTTAATGTTTTATGTAGGTATGTTAAGATGGAATAGTAATGATCTGTAGTTGGATGTGACAGTGAAAGATTGTTGTGTAGATGAAGATATTTTGGAGTATGTGGCGTTGTATTATGCAAAGAAGTACCATGCGTTGAATTAGTACGCATTACAGTACCACGCGCAGGGTTACTGCGCATTGGAGTACCACGCGCAGGCTTACTGCGCAGTGGAGTACCATGAGTCGAGTTACTGCGCATTGGAGTACCACGCGTCGAATTATCACGCGTCGAATTCCCACGCGTCGAATTACCACGCGTCGAATTCCCACGTATCGAATTACCACGCGTTGAATTCCCACGTATCGAATTACCACGCGTTGAATTCCCACGTATCGAATTACCACGCGTTGAATTCCCACGTATCGAATTACCACGCGTTGAATTCCCACGTATCGAATTACCACGCGTTGAATTCCACGCATCGAATTACCACGCGTCGAATTCCCACGTATCGAATTACCACGCGTCGAATTACCACGCGTTGGAATTGCAACGCATCGAATTACCCCACGCACTAGAATTACACGTTGGAATTGCAACGCATCGAATTACCACGC